AGTCATCTGGAATACATTTCAATTAACAGGTGTGCCTTGTTAAAAGTTAATTTGTGGAATTTCTTTCCTTCTTAATGCGTTTGAGCCAATCAGTTGTGTTGTGACAAGGTAGGTTTGGTATACAGAAGATAGCCCTATTTGGTAAAAGACCAAGTCCATATTATGGCAAGAACAGCTCAAATAAGCAAAGACAAACGACAGTCCATCATTACTTTAAGACATGAAGGTCAGTCAATATGGAACATTTCAAGAACTTTGAACGTTTCTTCAAGTGCCGTCACAAAAACCATCAAGCGCTATGATGAAACTGGCTCTCATGAGGACCGCCACAGGAATGGAAGACCGAGAGTTACCTCTGCTGCAGAGGATAAGTTCATTAGACTTACCAGCCCAAATAAATGCTTCACAGAGTTCAAGTAACAGACACATCTCAACATCAACTGTTCAGAGGAGACTGCGTGAATCAGGCCTTCATGGTCGAATTGCTGCAAAGAAACCACTACTAAAGGACACCAATAAGAAGAAGGGACTTGCTTGGGCCAAGAAACACAAGCAATGGGCATTAGACTGGTGGAAATCTGTCCTTTGGTCTGATGAGTCCAAATTTGAGATGTTTGGTTCAAACTGCCGTGTCTTTGTGAGACGCAGAGTAGGTGAACGGATGATCTCTGCATGTGTGGTTCCCACCTTGAAGCATGGAGGAGGAGGTGTTATGGTGTGGGGGTGCTTTGCTGGTGACACTGTCTGTGATTTATTTAGAATTCAAGGCACGCTTAGACCAGCATGGCTACCACAGCATTCTGCAGCGATATGCCATCCCATCTGGTTTGTGGGACTATCATTTATTTTTCAACAGGACAATGACCCAACACACCTCCAGGCTGTGTAAGGGCTATTTGACCAAGAAGGAGAGTGATGGAGTGCTGCATCAGATGACCTGGCCTCCACAATCACCCGACCTCAACCCAATTGAGATGGTTTGGGATGAGTTGGACCGCAGAGTGAAGGAAAAGCAGCCAACAAGTGCTCAGCATATGTGGGAACTCCTTAAAGACTGTTGGAAAAGCATTCCAGGTGAAGCTGGTTGAGAGAATGCCAAGAATGTGCAAAGCTGTCATCAAGGCAAAGGGTGGCTACTTTGAAGAATCTCAAATATAAAATATATTTAGATTTGTTTAACACTCTTTTGGTAGTCCCGTGTAGCTTAGTTGGTAGAGCATGGCGTTTGCAACGCCAGGGTTGTGGGTTCGATTCCCACGGGGGGCCAGTATGAAAATGTATGCACTCACTAACTGTAAGTCGCTCTGGATAAGAGCGTCTGCTAAATGACAAAAAATGTAAATGTAAAATATTACTACATGATTCCATATGTGTTCTTTCATAGTTTTGATGTCTTTACTATTATTCTACAATGTAGAAAATAGTAAAAATAAAGAAAAACACTGGAATGAGTAGGTGTGTCCAAACTTTTGACTAGTACTGTAGTTGATATTCAAGCCATAGTTTTTATAGTTCAAAGAAGAATTCTCTTCAAACTGTGTTATAACAGTGTTATGTGTTCATTCAGTGTATTCTAAAGCTAAAGACAGGTCATACATTCCTAAGGGCTTATGATCATATTTCATTCAACATTTCTAACACTCATATTTTCATTCCATGAGATGTTCTAGGAGCCCTACACTAGAACCTAAAATGGTTATTCGGCTGTCCCCATAGGAGAACCCTTTTTGGTTCTAGGTAGAACCCTTTAGGGTTCCATGAATAACCCTTTCCACAGAGGGTTCTACATGGAACCCAAAAGGGTTATCCTATGGGGACAACCGAAAAACCCTTTTGGAACCCTTTTTTCTAAGAGTGTAGTTGTGAGCCTCTCTAATGCTCTTCTCTGCTTGCTGCTTGCTGCCGATGCAACAGACAGTGGTAGTGATGACTAGCCTACCCACTGCTGGGCTCTACTCAGGCAGGGCAGTGTGCAGATTGGACAGCCTCAGCAGCAGCAGCTTACCCTTCTTGATGATTTAATACAGCTCTGCTGTCTGTTTCATTAGGCGCAAGGCAGGGGCTTGTCTGCCTGCACCACCACACTGCAGCATAATGAGAACACTCCCTGTGCTGTGTTCCAGATTGTCACAAACCAATGATGGCCTGGCCGGCAGGGCCGCTCATGCAATGGCATCCACAGAAATAATCCCTTTGATAAGAAATCAGGAAGTCGCGGATCGACCCTCTTATAAAGCGCTTCACCTTATCTGGTGTGTCCTCTCCGTTCCGCACTCAGCCCAAATGAGGTTGACTGATTTCTGCTTATTTGGAACACAATATCATTATCTTCCATATTGTGCTCATTTTGTATTCTTTTTTTTGTGATAGATCCATTATTTGACAGATGGGTGAGGGGGGAAGAGGATTTGACCATCTAAATAATGAGTTTTGAAAAGATAATCAGTGCCAGTATACTTATTCCTAATTGCCTTTTTGGCTACTTGTTTTCCCCTCCACCCATTGGTCTTGCTGGTAGAGGAGGATGGTGAAAGTAGTATGCAGATACATAAACACTACTCCAGACCATGCAGACTGACTGGGCTTGATCCCTAATATTTAGTGCTGCCCCGCTGGCAGCTACCCCTGAATCTGCCAACTTCATCCACATTCCCTATTTATACTGTAGGGTGGCTAGACTTGCAAGTACAGTATTCAGTATATGTACTGGGACAAGTACAGCGTGGACTCTGTGTAGTGCAGGGGTACAGTGTAATGCACATATCCGTGTAATCTAGCTCTCTTATGACAATTCAAGTACATCTCAAACATGACTACATTTAGTGAAACGTTGCTTCAGAGAGGATTTAAGATATAAATCCCCTCCTCCAGCTGTGGGAACCCACTGTTCTGTTCCCCTCATTAATCTGATTTGCTCTGTAGTACAATTGAGTGTTAATGTTTCAATTAAGTAAATCCTTAAATAGGAGCATTATTCTGACAGATCTTCAGACACAGCTGTTTCTCCAGTACAGAACTGTATTGTATTTGCCTATGAAGGCTGTTTGTCTGTAAAGGCAGGCTTGTCTGTTGCAGCTGTGTAGGTAATGGAGTATGTATGGTTTGCTTTATCCTATAGGTATGGAATGGGTTCTGTTGGGCTGTGTGTTGTGCTGTGTGCTGCTGGCTGTAGGGGCTGTGTGTTTGTCGTCTGATGGGAGGATTCCACCATCGCGGGCTGGGAGAGTGGTCTGTAATCCAGAGTCCCTAATCCTGGGATTATTGAGATTGCAGCTGGCATGGCATAACCAGGCATTCCTTTGGGGGTAACCACCCTTCCCCCACACTCTCCAACTCTCCCCCACACGCCCATCCTTACTGGGGCTGTTCTGTGGGGGTTGTGGGGCTTGCGCCAGGTTGGGCTGGGCTGGAGTTGCGGCTGGGGCTGGGGCTGGGGAAGGGTCTAAATTTAGTCCATTTCACAGCGTTCACAGTCACGGTCAGTCTATTGGAGTTCAGTTCACACATACACGTTCTGCCCTCGTCACATCCTGACCCTTGACCTTTGCAACTGTGGGGAGACAGGTTTGGGTCGTGTGGGGTGGAGCCGCCCAGTATCTGTTTCACACTGATCACGGTCCTGTTACAGTCACTGTTACGGTCATGGTCACTAATACACAGTCTGCACTTCAATGGTAAACCACACTACTGCTGTTGTTGCCCCTAAACATAAAATACCTACAGGAAGGAGAAGCATTATGCCATTATGACATGATGCCAGTTGTGATAATGTAAGAGGCCCAATGCTGAAACACATTCTGCTGTAAGCTTTTCAAGTGAAGATAAAATCGTCACAGCAGCATGGCTTTGGACTCAATTCTATACAGATTTAAAAAAATCGGATATTGTATAGGTTACTCATGCCGACATTTAATCATTATAATCCACTGTGACTTCCTCTGTGTCTCCTTCAGTAAACCTGATTACAGAGCCTCTATTTAATCTCACACTGTAGAGATATAATCATAGCATCCTCTCACCAAATCTAATTCTCCAGTTTTAACCACATTTGCATTATGACAGTGATGGTTATGATGGTTTCTATAAGCTCTGTGGACATATTTAGAAAACGCCATGAATTTGGGCATCAGTCTGAATTTAGAGTCGGCGAGTTTGGTAACTGGTGTATGTTGGTAACTGAAGTTATATTTTCCTGTTGAGGGAACCAAATAATTATGATGAGCCCTTTTGATTGATTCCTACACTGAGCCTGAGGGAGTTTTATACCCCTTTCAACCCATTCAACCTAGATATATTACTATGCGTGTTCTAAGTGTGTACTGTGAGTGTAATGTGTGTGTATTGCAATATTACTGTGTGTGTATTGTGAGTCTACTGTACTGTACGTCTCTTGTCTCTCTCTCCCAGGTGCCCGTGGCTGGCAGTGACTGTGTCAATCTACGTGCCACCATGCAGTGGCATCCTCTTCTTCTTTGTCTTGGCCAACTTCACCATGGCAACCTTTATGGATGCAGGCGTTCTCCCTATGGGTTAGTTATAAAATTCTATAACTACTATAATACACTAGTACCATCAAACTCAACTCTGGAGCTCGAAGCCAGTTCCACTGCGTTTTTTTCATTGTTCCCCTCTAATCAGGGACTGATTTAGACCTGGGACACCAGGTGTGTGCAATTAATGATCAGGTAGAACAGAAAACCTCTATTCACTACTGTACACTATAGTGTAACTTAACATGACAAACATTACAGTAGGTGGGCATGTAGTTGTTCAACTGTATTGAATTATTATCTACTAGTTATAACATACTAGTACATTTCATTACATTGTGAATAGATTGATAAACTAGGCCAGATTTATGTTAGTAATGTTAACTTTCTGTCTGAGAAGGAATTGGAAGAGAAACATTGACATAAAAACAACAATATCCAGTGTTACCCCACGCCCAGTGTTGTGCCATTGACCTATAGTTCATGTTGTGCTGTGTGTTTGGGTTTCAGCTAATGAGGACGAGGACAAGGACGATGACTTCCGCGCTCCGCTCTACAAGAACGTGGACGTGAAGGGTGTCCAGGTCCGGATGAAGTGGTGTGCCTCCTGTCACTTCTACAGACCTCCACGATGCTCCCACTGCAGTGTCTGTGACCACTGTGTAGAGGTGAGAGGGAGGGAGGGAGGGAGGGATGGATGGAGGGAGAGAGAGAGAGAAAGGGAGGGAAGAAGGAGTGAGACAGAGAGAACAATCAAGGGCTGGTGGAGAGTGGGATGAAGGGGTGAATGGGGGGGGGGGGGGGGGGGGGGTAGTGGTTGATGGGGGAGGGAGGAGGAAGGGCCTGAGTAGGGATCAATAGTGTGTGTGGCTGTAGGGTAATGGCGGGTGGGAGAAAATGATGGAGGGATAGAGGGGGAGGGAGAGAGAGAGAGATCACATTAATCAGGTTAATCCCTTTCCCCCAATCCTTAATGTCCCCGCAGCGGGGAGAGAGATGAGATTTGAAAAGGGTTGGGACAATCTGCGTGTGTACACTGAGGTATATTTAGACAGCTCAGATCCTATCAACACTTGTATGATATTTGACTTCGGTAGATAATGCTTTTTCACTGTCCAATACTATTTGCTAGCTAGACCACTCCAGAATACTCTTTGTAACATGGATGCACAATGTTGGACAGAGTCATGTAAAGTAGGCTGCTACAATATGTTGTCATAATTTTCAGAGTGATTGAATGTTTTATCTAATGTTGTGTCTCATTGTGTCATGACCATATGCAGGACTTTGACCACCACTGTCCCTGGGTGAACAACTGTATCGGGAGGCGGAACTACCGCTACTTCTTCCTGTTTCTGCTGTCACTCACGCTGCACATGGTGGGCGTGCTCTCCGGTGGCCTGCTCTACATCCTACACCATTTGGAAGACCTGTGGAAGCTGCACTGTACTGTCACGTATCCTTCCGTACACACGCTCTGTGTACTTTGTGTATGTGTATGTATGTTCATGCTGTGTGTGCAGTATGATCAGGGTCATTCATTTCTAAAGCTCCCTAAAGAGAGTCATTGAGGCTCCTTAACTGCTGTGTCCAGCCTGGTGGTGATGAGTGTATCAGGTCTGTTCTTCATTCCTGTCCTGGGCCTCACAGGGTTCCACCTCTACCTGGTGTCCAGGGGCAGAACCACCAATGAACAGGTCAGACGCCTCTATGTAACTCATGTTTTTAAATGACTAGATACAAGGTTTCTGGAATATATGAGGCCACCCTAGGTCGAGTCCTCACTTTAATGATGAAATTGTTGCATTCTTTTCCACAGGTTACTGGGAAGTTTCAAGGAGGGGTCAACCCTTTCACACAAGGTTGCTGTGGCAACTTGGAGTATCTCATATGCAGTCCCATTTCTCCAAAGTAAGAAACATTTGACATTTTATGTAAACATCATGTTTAATATAACGTTTTGGAGCTCATTAACTTATCTATTTGCTTGGACCATACCAGGTATACAGCGAGGCCCATTAAGAAATCAACAGTTCGCATCATTCCTCCATTCCTGAGACCAGAGACTGACATACAGATACCAATTATTAAGGTTGAGGATAACGGCATTCAGACTCATGATATCCAAAATAAGGTACGTCTGTCCACCCCAAATACCCTCAGAAGGGAACATCCCATATTCACACACACATAAAACATCAGTATTTAACTAACTTCATCAGCAGATCAGATATGTTTAACTGCAGTTCCTTCTCTTCCGTTCTCAGCGCCCGTCCACTGATGGTATGGAAGAGCCAGACATCCAACGTCTGAACACCCCACCACCGCTGCCCCCCAAACCAGACCCCAACGTGCTGAAGAGCCACCTAGCAACTCTAGAAGGTAGGGTCACATTAGTAACCTGACAACCAGGGATACAGTACCTAATATTATAGATAGCATTAGGAAATGATCATGAAGAAACTTGAAACAGTCCAGAAAACCCACAAACTATCATCCACTTCTCTCATACTGCACCCTGGTGGCGATATTATTCAATTGGCGCCCAGAGAGGCAGCCATGGTTTTTGTTGCTGCTTGTGTCTTCCTTGGTTTTTCTTTGTTTGTTTACTTGTGGATTTGCAACAAAATTTAACTCAGGATGAGCTACTGAATATTAGAACCAGCCTAATTTAGAATGTAGCTTAGTGTTTATAGTGAAGCTTGTAGTTCTTTAGCTTACAGTGTACACTACCGGTCAAATGTTTTAGAACACCTACTCATTCATGGGTTTTTCTTAATTTTTTTACTATTTTCTACATTGTAGAATAATAGTGAAGGCATCAAAACTATGAAACAACACATATGGAATCATGTAGTAACCAAAAAAGTGTTAAACAAATCAAAATATATTTTATATTTGAGATTCTTCAAATAGCCCCCCTTTGCTTTGATGACAGCTTTGCACACTCTTGGCATCTCTCTGGATTAGTTCAGTCACAAATCACAATAGGCATTATGGTAATATATTTACATTTTGTAAAATATTTATTTCCTTCTGCATCTGTGTTTCGGTTCCAGAGAGTGGTCTGCATCCCAAACCAGTGACCCCTTCCCCTGGGCAGACCCTGCAGCAGTTCAGGCCATTACCGCAGTCCACATCTAAGGCACCACCCCCCTCACCTGTCCATCAGGTCAGTCATATCATTCATAGCATTGACACCATTCAGATACACTGTGGATTTATTGTGCTGTGTTTTGAGCCGTTTCCACAGATCATGGTTGTGTGTTGTGTTTTGAGCCGTTTCCACAGATCATGGTTGTGTGTTGTGTTTTGAGCCATTTCCACAGATCATGGTTGTGTGTTGTGTTTTGAGAGCTTTCTAACAGACTGGCCATGTGATTCTGTGTTCTGTTGAGCCTCTGACAGACTGTTGTGGCTGTGTTGTGTTTTGAGAGCTCTCTGACAGTCTGTTATTTGTTGTGGTTGTGTCTAGGTGGCTGTGGCACCAGAGCAGCAGGGGGGCAGCAGTAGAGGTCATAACCTGTCATCAGAACTCATCCTGGGCAGATTTGACCAGCTAGCCTTCCCATCCGGTCCCATGTCCGCTCCACTCCAGCTCAACTCTCTCACCCTCAACTCCCGCTCCCTCACCCTCAAACATGCCTATCGCCACGGCAACAAGCTGCCGGCCTTGTACCCAGAGGGTCTGATCTCCCATCAGGTGTCTCCGGGCTTGTTCCCCCCTCACAACCCCCTGTCCAACCGCAACAGCCTCTCCTATGACAGCCTGGTGAACTCAGGTGACCCCCACTACCTGGCCCAGCGAGGGGGACCTCCACTTCACTACCACCCGCACTTCATGACCCTGGGACATGATGGCAGTGTGCTGCAGCGGCCCCCTCCACACACCTACAGCCCTGTGTTCATGGGGGTCACCAGGCAATCTCCCCAGCCCAGGGACACCTCACCCAGGGACCCCTCTCTACGAGACCTCACCCCTCAGGCCCTCACCTCCCGGGACCTCTCCCCTCAGGCCCTGATGCACAGGGACCTCTCCCAACAGGCCTTGATCCACCGGGAGGCCTCTCCGGTCCGCTATGACAACCTCTCCAAGACCATCATGGCCTCCATTCAGGAGCGGCGGGAGATGGAAGAGAGGGACAGGATGCTGCGGATGCAGGCCAGGTCCCAGGCCCTGTACGGCTGCCCAGACATGGGGGTGTATGACATCCCCAGCAGACGCAGCCTCCCTGCAGACAGCATGCGCCTCCCAGGGTCCCGCGGCCCCACCCCTCCTGCATACGGCTCCAGGGAGTTCATGATGAGCACTGGTATTTTGGGGTACGGGGGTGCGAGGTCACCCCTCTCCAGCGCCTCGTCGTCCTCTCTGACCCGAGCCCCCAGGACTTCCAGCTCCCCCCTGCAGAGCAGCAGCAGCCTGCAGAGTAAGGGTCGTTCCCCCTCCCCAGCCTACCTCCCCCCAGACAGGCAGGCCCAGCCCTCATCCTCCTCTTCCTCTGCCTCTGCCCCAGACGCCCCCCCAAAATGCCCCTCACTCACCAACGCCATGGAGGGAAAGGACTCAGCACCCCTGTGTGTCCCCAAATAGGAACCATTGAGTCTTCCCGGAGGGTGTATGTAGCCAGCCACACCACTCTGCAGTGTTAGCCTGTATATCCACAACTTCCCAGCACTGTGTAAGTGTGTCTGTTTGGGTTGTCAGTGTGTGGGAGGGTGTGGGAGTCGAGAGGACATCAATGTGCAGTTATGGGATTTTTTATTTTATTTTGTATTTTTTTTGTACAGATATTTGCACTTGGACCTCTCACTAGACAAGGGTGTGTGTTGAATATAGAGTGAGTGATAACCAACACCATTTGCAGATATCTCAGGACAGTGGCCAATTAGCAGACAGTTGTGCCTCTTTATGCAGAACAGAGGAAATGTACAGAAGACAGATCTTTTATTGTTGGTTTATGTGTTTTGATAATGCTTTTAAAAAAAATAATGTTATGTGATGATGAGACATTCTATTATTTTGCGTATGTAGAAATTATGCTTTAGTAATATTTTGTGGTTGTTTTAACAAATAAAAAATACAGTTATTTTCCTTTTTCTGTATAAGCCGTTGTCATTCAATTATTTATTATCTGTTATTGTTATACGTTCTTGCATTTATGTCCACATCCTGGTTCAACCCTAACCCTAGCCTCAACCACAACCCTATAGCCTGTCGCATGCTTCCCAGTCAAAACAGTTTGCGCATTTATTATGATTACATTTTGTGACGTCTGTAAGGGTTGGTGTGAGGTGTGACCCAGGTGCGGTGCAGGATATACAGGTAGGTCTCTGATCAGACACTGAGTAGTACTGCTGGACATAGAGAAAATAACAGAGAAAACTGAGCAAGGGAACACAGGGAAGTGAGGGCATAAATACACAGGTGAACAGGTAGACACAGGTGACACCAATAGGATAATGATTAGTCCAGACTGTGAGTGAGGAGGTGCTTAAGGTTGTCAGAGGATGACACCTAGTGGGTCGCTCCGGAACTGCGACCCCCTCCTGTAACAACGTCTTTGTTTGTTTTCAGCTGTTCACGCACAAATGCTTTTCTTGAGGCAAGTCGAAGTTTGGTAGCCGAAGTCTACGCCCCTTTGTCGGTGATTGGTCAACAGTACTACTCCTAGTAGGAGAGGGAACTATGGACGGGATTCTTCAATTAAGTGTTTGTTGTCATGCAACGTGAGACGACTAGTTTTCATGCAAATCTTTTCACTTGAGAAATGAGATGTAAAATTGCGCGACTAAGACCTCTGCAAAAACGTCAAAATTAATTACATATTTCTTGATTTATCTTAGATTAATTCTTACTATTTTGCGGAAGTGTATACTAACTATGTTGTTGCAAAGGTGTCTCAAGAGGGACAAACAGTAATATTGCTACTTTTATTGTTTTTCAATCGAAGGTCTTTTAAAGGAGTATGCGAGGCACAGACGTTCGCTTCGCCTAGCCGAGTTCTGCTAGGAGCAAACCGAGCCTAGTATGCGGGCGCCTTAACCCCAATAACACTAGCTTCATGTCCACATCCCAGTTCAACTCTAATTCTAGCCTTAACCACAACCCTAACCCATAACCTTGGTTTAGCTTACTTTTATCCTATATTTCTCTTCTGACCTGCAAGGTGCAGGAACTGAGCTCAATTCGGATTTTGTAATGGTACCCCCTAGTGGACTTATCTGTGAGGTACTGTGAGTAGAATAAAGAAAATTCCATTCCAAGAGAATATGAGTGAGTAGGAAACCCTATAGGCCTACTTTCTGATGGAAGGCTTGCTGCGCTCAACTATTGGTTTCAGAGAAGTATGTGTTGGATATCTTTAATAAATGAAGCAATTCCACTGAGATTGTGTGTTGCACTAGCATTCTGATGCCGTGATATTTCTCTTACTGCCAGTGATTGTTGCCATAGCCACAGAGAGATTGAGACAGCATTCCAGAACTACAAGGCTGCAGTGAGAACAACCGTTTACACAGGGGTTAGGTGCTCATAAAACACGGAAAGAATGAACAGCCTTGGTTAACAATAGCCCACCCCTGCTGTAAAATTTCAGTTTCTATGGTTCTGCAGTTGGCAGCAGTCTTTTCTCTCATTCAATTTATCACAGTACCGTGTTGCATCACAGAACATTTATTTACTCAAAACAGAACATGTAGTGAGTCCCAACCAATGCACTATTCATGATCATTCATCTCTTAAGGTTAGATCACATAATGACTGATGTTTTTCCACCCTTCATTTTACCTATCCATTTTTTATGTACATTTCTACAGTTTTTTGACTCCGTGCATCCTTTCATCTTCCTTTTCTTTTCTCTCCTCCTGGATTGACCCCCTTCATTATGCTCTCTACAACCGTGACCCTACTGTGTCTATTCAATCTGAATGAGCTCTTTTGATCTTCACCAAGCTTGTAGGAATCATGACACTTCAACTGTCTGAAGTCTAGCGATGGGACCGCTTTAAAGGCCATTGATCAAATATTAATATTGGTGTTCTGTTCATGTGTGTTTTTAGCTTTGGCCCAGTTGCAGACCTCTGAGCTGCTGGTTTTGATGTAGTTTTGGTACTCTGTTTCCCTCCCTTCCACTCCTTCCTCTAGCTTTTTCCTCTCTCTCTTTCCTCTTTTTTTCGCTTCTCGAAGAGAACTTCCTCTCCTCTTCTCGACCAGCGTCACAACCGCTCCTCTCCTCCTCTCCACTCTCTCTCTATCCACTCTCCCTCATCTATCTCCTCTCTCTTCTCCCTATATCTCTCTCACTCTCTCTCTCTTCTCTCTCTCTCTCTCTCTCTCTCTCTCTCTCTCTCTCTCTTACCCCCGCATCTATCCCTCCCTCTCTCTCTCCTCGCTGTTTCTGTAGCCTGGGGTAAAATGGTAATGAGGAAGGCTGCTGTGAAGAGGAGGGTTTGTGGTTCATTGAGTGTGTGAAGTGGAGCAGATTCTGGTGTCAGAATAGCGCCATCTTATACGATGTTGTGGTTATGTTTGGCCGACCAATGGTGTTAAAGTTATATCAGACGCACGCACGCACGCACACACACACACACTCTCCTCCTAATTGATATGTCCCATCCATCAGGTCTTCAGTGCCTTGCTGATTGCCAGGTTCAGATTCCCGTGCCGCTGATGCGTTTCCTCCCTGGGCTGTTTATGATTAAGCGTTTCCTGTGGTGCCACCTGACAGGAAGGATCAGTATAAATCATAACACCCTGTGTAGTTCAGCTCTCTGGGGGGCTCTGGTTTACATCCATTATTTAGCACAATTCAAAGAGACTTGTATCTCATTTATTATCTATAAAACTTCAACATCCACTCGGCCCTTTGTTGGACTGTCTGCTTCAGGGGGAATTTCCTGACTGAATATAGAACATTGTCCCGTGTTACAGCTTATTGTTGACCTTTATTGGTATTTCCAGATGTGGCTTAATTTAATTGGACTATGCTGCTGCTGTGTCATCAAATGTACCAATTCAGCTTATAATTGTGTATTTGAGCTGTCCTTAGACGTTAACTGCTCTGCTTATTAAACTAGCTGTGCTGTGAAGCCCGCGGGTCCTCCGTGTTAATTCTGCTAATGAATTAGCCTCGGTCACATCAGACTTTCACAGAGGTGGATGGGGGCAGTGGGGGGAGGAGGGTTTAGAAGGGATGAAAGGGAATGTGTCTGTGTGATAGAGAGAATGTGGGAATGAGTGCATGTGGAGGAAGGTAATGCTGAGCATGACAGAATGCGTGTCAATTTGAGCACATTATCATTGTACTGCACAATGTACATACCATACATACAGTGTTTCTGTGTGGGATGCATGGACATGCTTTTGTGTAGGTCTAAAGGCATGTTGTTTATTACTAGCTGTCCCTCTTGTATTTACATCTGTGTTTTTTGAGGCGGTCATTCATAAGCCATCCTATTACTGTAAGATTCAAATCAATGGTGAACATTTTGAGCAAGTAGTAATTAGACCATCACCATTTAGTCTAACGTTTGTCTCTTTTTGCACTATGTCTGGCTTTCTGTTTTGGATTTGCAATTCACAGAGGATGAGTAGGAGCTTACATCACTCAACGGTGCCAGGTATGTTTTCACAGATCACTATAGGGTAATGATTAGATGTTAGTGTCTCTTTAGATGAGTGGGTTTAATATTCAAATGTCATGTTGTATCATTTAATTGCATGCAAATGTCTAGTTTTATTCGAGGCTGTTTCTCAGTATGCAGGGTAGCCTCTCTTTGCCTGCTGCACCCTTTACCTTCCTCTCCTCCTCTCCTCCATCCCTCCATCCTTCTCTCCCTCCCTCCCTCCCTCCCTCTGTCCTGCACATGGGTGACAGGGCTGGGCTAGTGCAGCCTTCTCCCTGCTCCAGCTGCATCTGTTTGCCAGCCCAGAGGGAACTGTGTGTGTGTGTGTGAGTGTGTGTGTATGTGTGAGTGAGAGAAGCAGGCTACTGGGGAGAAAGCACACAGATTGCTGGGCTTTCCACTAACTGGATATACTCACCCCTTTTCTTATAGGGTTCAGCAGTATTTATTTTATTTTGATTTAACCAGCATCTTGCTGCTAACCTAGATCTTGGATACGGCTGTTTGTATGACAGCAGAGAGGGGTGTGTAATGATGAGGTTGCCTGTTTTTTGTTGTTGATTCAGCATCTCTTTCATGAGGGAGAGTGCAGAATTAATCTGAGCTCACTGTGTGAATGTGTGAGAGTACGTGTTTGTGTGTGTGTGAGAGAGAGCGAGTGAGTGAGTGAGTGAGTGTGTGTGCCTGCGTGCACGTACGTGCGTTAGTGAGAGCCCAGGAGGACGGATGGCTGCTCATGTCTGAACTGCCTCCACGCTCGCAGCGAAAGAGAAAAGTCAAGGGAGAAAATAGCAAAAGGAGGGAAACAGACGCAGTGCTCTCTTCTCACTGGGGACTGATTCTGTCCATCATCTGGTAGGAAAGCTAATCAAAGGGATTTGGCAATGCCTGCAGAGGTGAAAGAGGTAAGTGTTTTGATTTCGTATTTGTCTTCACTACCCTCCCTCTTTTCCCGCCGACGCTTTTCCAACAGGATCCCCATCCACAGCTGTTCTCTATTCTATTCTATTCTATTCGGTAAGCTATAACTCTTCTCTTGTAGTATGAAAGGGAAAGCGTTATTTTCTGCTCTCAGATCAGTGTGTTGCAGTCTACTTGTGTGTGCTCAGGGACATGCTCTTAACACCTCTGTTCAGTGTGTATGCTGCAGGACATATGGAGAGGCTGTCAATCATGGTAACATGATGAGAGGAGGCAGAGTGAAAACCACCCACAGGGGATTGTGCTGCTGCTGCATACGCTTGTATCACCCAGCACATCACCAGCTAGCCACTGGACGTTAGAATGACCGTGCAGTATTTAACTGTTTGTCCTGCATCCTGCACAGACCAAGACAAGGGATGAGCGGTGTCCTCATTCTCAATGGAAATGAGTCTTGGCACAGCGGTGAATGAGATGGGATATCCTGATGTCGTCATGGTGTAATGCCTAGTTACAGGGTCTTATACATCTCTGAGGCTGCTGTGAGTGGACAATGCTGTATTTGGGTACTGTGGACAGAGAATGTTTTACTCCCACATCTTGACATCAAAACAAAAACAAGCCAACTTCTTGACCCTCTAATTCGGCACCCTGGGAGTGGGTCTGTTGTGGCAGATTATTGCTCGGTGTGTACCGCAATTTTGTGCACACAGTCATTTCACATCAAGTACTGGAGCGATACACATTCTCTCTCTATCTGATGAAGACAAATTGACTGCATTGTCAGTGGTAATTCCAACAGGATCGCAGCTTCTCCTCTGATCTGCATTAATATCGAGATAGAGGGCATGCATTTTCTCCCTCCTCTGCATGATTCATCTATAATAATGAGCTTGTGACAAGTATTAAATGTGGCTTGCATCTGGAGTGCCCTTGAGCCGGCCACTAAATTTGAACTCACTCAGCAGAAGATCAGACTGTTGGCCTTTCCACTATAATGTGGTGCAGTCAGCCTTGATTTGACAGTTGGCTGGAACAAGACACTAATCGTGTCACTTTGTCCCCTGCTTCAGTGCCTCTAACGTCTATCTCCAGCATCTCATTTGTAAACAGCAGCAAATACAGCCTGTAGACATATGAGGATATTTGGTTGATGTGATGGAGGAACATATTTTATGGACGCATGAGTGTTTGATGCTGATTGGTGGCTGTTGGGAGGGATGTTTCACAGTGTTGGAAGGCTCTGAATCTGTTGGAAGACTAATCTAAAAACAGGGCCAGGTGTGATTTTCTCACAAGTTCCTAACCTCACTATCCATCCCTCTTTGCCTCTTTGCCTCTATCAAACCCTATTACCATCCCTCAATCCTTCCATCAAGCCTTCCTTAGAGAACAGAGACACCCTGCCTTTAGCCAGCTAGTTATTTATTTATCTCTGCTTTACAATACCTCCAATCATTTATCCCACCAGGGCTGTTTAAAACTGCACCATCTCTCTCTCTCTCTCTCTCTCTCTCTCTCTCTCTCTCTCTCTCTCTCTCTCTCTCTCTCTCTCTCTCTCTCTCTCTCTCTCTCTCTCTCTCTCTCTCTCTCTCTCTCTCTCTCTGCTGTGTGTCGATCATTGGGCTTTCATCTCTCCTTCTTTCTCTTGACAGATTTATTTTCATGACGATGAGGACATTATGTTTGGAAATGGAGGCTGCGAGTGAATCAGCTCTCCCATCACATTAATGAGTTTTATAGCTCCAGATTCCAAGGACTATTTTACATTCAGGCCCCTACTATTTACCTTGGATTCAATGAAGTTGGAATACTGTTGAATTCAGTTATATCTACAGTATGTTTCAGTAAGGGCTCGATTCAATCCATATCGTAGAAGTTCAGCGCTATAGCGAGATTGGAATTTAAAGTCAATGTTCACACGTTCGTAGAAACTGCATTCATGGTAAACCCTACACATGTCACCTCAATCGGAAATATCACCTTTAAATTTCAATCGTACTATAGCACTGAACTTCCGCGATACGGATTGAATCGAGCCCTTATAGGCAACCTGATATTTTAATTTGTTCCTGCACAGTAAGATTGAGAGCACTTTCATTTAGAATGGTGAGCTATGATGCATTTAATTTTATGTCAGATTATCTGCTGGCTTGCAAGAGATATTGGCACATAAATCAATATTCTCCCTTATGGTGAATGTGGTTCTAATCATTAACATATTGACTAAGATCTCAGATTCAGACACCCTTGGGTATTAGTATGTGATCAAAACAGAATCTTCCTTGTCTAAACACTATTTAGTATGCAAAAGCATGTCAGCATTAATTATGGGTTATTTTGTTCATATTTTATGCCTCTTTAGTCTTTTGATAGAGCCATTTTAAGTTGTTTATGTTTTATATTCAATAGATCCCTAGTTTGGGGAAATGAATTCCTTTGAGGAAAACAACAAGTTAGCTTCTTCTTGAAATAAATAAGCATAAATCACTAAATTACCCTGTGTGTCTCAGGCTAGCTGCTGGAGAGGGCTGATTAAAGACAGGACATTGTTATATCTCAGTACTTATGCCAAACCATTCCTCCTCATTAATCCACATAATGGCACCGTTACTCTTTTAACAAATCAAGTCTCTCAGCACCTAAACCTCCACAATTACAACAGCCTGCTCTCCTCTTTGCCATTCCCCACACATGGCCACACATCAGTATGGAAGGGCTGAATAGCTTTGTGGCATTACTATGAGGTGGGTGTTTAAAAGAGATGGCATAAAAATGAACAATTTGCGAGCAGTCAGCAGGGGAAGTGAAAGGTCAACAGAACGGCAGCAGCAGATTGGTCAACGGGGTGAGAGAGTCTCAAGAGAGGTCAAACCAACGCTGCTTTAATTAAACAGGTGGAGCTCATTCTCACATTTAGATAATACCCTCTCCTGCTCTCACCGGCCTGTCACCTTTAGTTTATGTCTTTATTTCTCCCTCTCTTTACAAAGGATACTGGGCACTCCCTCTCCTTCTCTCTCTATCTCGCTCTCCTCTCTCTCTTGCTCTCTCTCTCTCTCTCTCTCTCTCTCTCTCTCTCTCTCTCTCTCTCTCTCTCTCTCTCTCTCTCTCTCTCTCTCTCTCTCTCTCTCTCTCTCTCTCTCCCCTCTTGCTCTCTCTCTTTCTCTCGCTCTCTAACTCTCTCTCTCTCTTTCTCTGTGAAACTTTCTCTCCTACACTTCATCTGTAGGAGTAGGATGTCTAAATCGCTTCCCTTTGCTGTGTATCAAACTCTTGACCCTGTACTTGGTCTGTAGTAGGAGTATGTCTCTAACCCTCTACCCTGTACGATGTGCTTGCCTGGTGTGTAGGAGTGTGTATCTACAGTTGAAGTCGGAGGTTTACGTACACCTTAGCCAAATACATTTAAACTCAGTTTTTCACAATTCCTGACATTTAATCCTAGTACAAATTCTCTGTCTTAGGTCAGTTAGGATGACCACTTTATTTTATGAATGTGAAATGTCAGAATAATAGTAGAGAGAATGATTTATTTCAGCTTTTATTTCTTTCATCACATTGTGAGGTCAGAAGTTTACATACACTCAATTAGTATTTGGTAGCATTGCCTTTAAATTGTTTAAAACTTGGGTCAAACGTTTCGGGTAGCCTTCCACAAGCTTCCCACAATAAGTTGGGTGAGTTTTGGCCCATTCCTCCTGACAGAGCTGGTGTAACCGAATCAGGTTTGTAGGCCTCCTTGCTCGCACATGCTTTTTCAGTTTTGCCCACAAATGTTCTATAGGATTGAGGTCAGGGCTTTGTGATGGCCACTCCAATACCTTGACTGTGTTGGCCTTAAGCCATTTTGCCACAACTTTAGAAGCATGCTTGGGGTCATTGTCCATTTGGAAGACCCATTTTTAACTTGCTGACTGATGTCTTGAGATGTTGCTTCAATATATCCACATAATTTTCCTTCCTCATGATGCCATCTATTTTGTGAAGTGCACCAGTCCCTCCTGCAGCAAAGTACCCCCACAGCATGATGCTGCCACCCCCGTGCTTCACAGTTGGGATGGTGTTCTTCGGCTTGCAAGTGTTCCCCTTTTTCCTCCAAACATAACGATGGTCATTATGGCCAAACAGTTCTATATTTGTTTCATCAGACCAGAGGACATTTCTCCAAAAAGTACGATGTTTGTCCCCATGTGCAGTTGCAAACCGTAGTCTGGCTTTTTTATGGCGGTTTTGGAGCAGTGGCTTCTTCCTTGCTGAGCGGCCTTTCAGGTTATGTTGATATAGGACACGTTTTACTGAACACAAGGTCACAAGGTCCTTTGCTGTTGTTCTGGGATTTATTTGCACTTTTCGCACCAAAGTACGTTCATCTCTAGGAGACAGAACGCGTCTCCTTCCTGAGTGGTATGACGGCTGCGTGGTCCCATTGTGTTTATACTTGCATACTATTGTTTGTACAGATGAATGTGGTACCTTCAGGCATTTGGAAATTGCTCCCAAGGATGAACCAGACTTTTGGAGGTCTACAATGTTTTTTCAGAGGTCTTGGCTGATTTCTTTTGATTTTCCCCTGATGTCAAGCAAAAAGGCACTGAGTTTGAAGGTAGGCCTTGAAATACATCCAAAGGTACACCTCCAATTGACTCAAATGATGTCAATTAGCCTATCAGAAGCTTCTAAAGCCATGACATTTTCTGGAATGTTCCAAGCTGTTTAAAGGCACAGTCAACTTACTGTATGTAAACTTCTGACCCACAGGAATTGTGATACAGTGAATTATAAGTGAAATTAATCTGTCTGTAAACAGTTGTTGGAAAAATTACTTGTGTCATGCACAAAGTAGATGTCCTAACCGACTTGCCAAAACTATAGTTTGTTAACAAGACATTTGTGGAGTGGTTGAAAAACGAGTTTTAATGAATCCAATCTAAGTGTATGTAAACTTCCGACTTCAACTGTAACTCTTTCCCCTGTTGTGTAGGAGCAGATCCCAGAGGGGCCTTCATCACTGGCGGCCATGACCCTGGAGCCCAAGGAGTCACAGGTGGAGCTGGCAGACGATGACCTGGACACACCCACCTCCAACTCCTCCATTGTCACCTCCACCAATGGCAGCTCCACTACAGAGACAGAGGCACCACAACACACAGAGGTTCCCAGTCTTTAATATATTTATCCCCTATGGAATATTTACTTGAATTACAGTCATCATCTAACCTCAGCCAGTTGATCTCTACAGTACATCTCTCCCAGGATCATACTGTAAGCATTCTCTACTGTAATCTGAAGCAAGGATGAATCCTTCATTATATCTCCAATAAAACACCATCCCTGTGTATTATGATTTATGTCAGACCAATGGGAAATAATAATAAACTATACTGTGTAATACATCTGCAGCCGTGGTGAACCATGATGTGTTTTCAATCTGAGCCATCCGCCAGAATGTAAATCTAATGGCCTCAGACAGCTTTTTGAACTGAAGGCTGTATTGTGCCAGGCTGCCAGAATTTCCCTTGGGGAAGTAGCAGCTAACACTATTGTATCTCAGGGCCAGAGAACACCACAAAGCTTTTCCTAGTGTAGAGAATGGCTTGTGGGTACTATTTCCACAATACTATTCATTAGACTATTTGAGTCATCTGACTTCATACATATTTACATCATATTCATAGTTGCGCAAGATAAAAACACAGATCGCATGTTGACCTTGGTGGTTGTGAAACTGTTAACATCAAAATCCACTTCCATCAAACAGACCATTTTAATTTCCTGCAATTTACTCTAGTACTCAACAGTAGCTGGACCTCAGCTTGTTTCATCACAGTCCAATCTAAACTAATTTCCAACTGGGGAAAACATGATTCACTGGCAGCCAAGCAGAATTCATTATCTACTGGCCTAGCTCAAAGCCAGGAATCTGTTGTAATAAAAATTATGGATAATATGAGACAAGAGCTTGTGGGGGATTTTTGTTTTGTTTAATGTAGGGTTAAATGTCTATCAAACTGTGCCATGTTGTGCTCTCTGCTGTTGGGGAAAAAGTTCGTAGTAGAGTTTGGTGGTAGTTGTAGAAGTGCTGTAGTAGTATTGATAAATGTGGTTGTGGTTATTTGAGGCAGTGAGTGCAGCTTTAGGATGGCATCTCATAGACTTGGCTGAGCCTGTGGTGGAGATATAATATTAGATCCCACAGTGAGGCATTCTGACTGGTGTATTGAGATGAACTGTGTACCTTCCTCTCTACAGGACCTCAAGGCTGTGGAACTGGCGAATGACCACGCAGACACTCCGAACACCCCAGACACACCCACCCCCCAGCTTCCTCCAGCCCCACAGCCTCCCCCGGTTACCCAGGTTCCCATGGGTCCAGGCAACCCATCTCTGCAGCCCAGCCCCCTGACCAACGGCCAACACTCCTCTGAGTCCCTCACCCCCCTTATCACAACCACTGCTACCATCACCACTCTCCCCCCTCCCTACAACAACACCAACCGTGATCCCAACACAGAGATCCCTGAGAGGCAGAACAACATCTACACCCTCCCTGACCCTCCCTTTCCAGGCCTTGGAGGTGACATGTGTTCTGGGTATGGCAGCCTGTCTAGAGGAGGTGTCCATCACAGCTCCCTCCACACCTACTGGCCCTCCAGGAACTACCAGACCCAGCCTGGAGGCCACTACACCCTGCCCCTACCCAGGGACAACTACGGCCAGGTGGGCCTGACCAACCAGACCGAGGGGGAAGGACCAGGGGACGCCCAGGAGGTAAAGGCTGACTATCCCACCTCCAGCTACGCCACCCTGGGGGAAATCCACCAGCTCAGACCCATCACTACCATGGAGCTCCTGATGGAACCTTCCAGAACCAGGTTAGGATATGGGCTAGCTAGTTCGGCACCTGCATGACAGTAGAACTCCCTAGCAGCAGATCCAAGCTAAAAAGACTGGTGACCTTGTTATCTCAGCTCTATGGTAGGTGACAGAATCTATTGATTCATAGTCAAGTCCTTTATTCTCATTAAAAGGAGTTATTTACATTCAGAGAATGGACAGTAGTAAACTGACATTTAATGTGTGCTGCACAAATATCAATACCCTCTCTGTAAATTAGTTTACCCTTAACAAAGGCTAATGCTTTTCTCAAGACAGGGCATTGATTTTTGCTGTGTGTTATTAGTCATTTGAAAATGAGGGCACATTCTGTGTAATGTTTGCTACTGACCAATAGAACAGGAGTCCTACACGCTATCATTATCTTCATTCACAGCATAAATGCTGTTTTCAGTGAAGAGATAACACTGTAGAATACACTTCATCATACACTGACCCTCGAAATGATGTAGCTTATGAACACTTAAAAAAAAGAGGAGACTAGAAAATCACACTATACTACTCAACACAGCTCAGTATGGATTGAAACTACATTAGTGAATTTCCATATTGCATTCCATAGCGTTGAGCTGTAGGAGATGCTAACTGCAGTAGTCCATGTGGTGTCAACATGGTGAGGAGGGCGAGACAGATGGCCAGCAGTTTAGGAGCAGGTGGTAACAATCAGAGGAGGCTGCCTGCCACCAGTCAATAAATAAGGAGGTTTTACCTGTATTACTGACTGACAGCAGCACTTTCCTCAGCTCATAAGCTGTGAATGAGCTGTTTACAGAGGATTCTGGACACTCTGGCGCTCTATTTCTTCCCCATCTATCTTTTGCTCTCTCTCTTTCTCTCCATCTATCTGGAACTCAAGCTGTCGAGATAAAATATCTGTTTGCACAACTGTTCAGAGAACATACAAGAGCCAATAACAGTGATTGTTCAACAAATAACATCTAATTGCTTTCTGTGCTTTCTGTCTGTCTCTGTCTACATCTAGGCCTATCTCTTTCCCTTGTCTCAGCCCCCCCTCCCCACTTAACCCCTCCTTCCCTCTCTATTTCTCCAGAGGTGGGTACGAGGAGGCCCTCATGTCCCAGGTGGATGGGGACCCCACCTCCTTCTTCCAGGCCATGTCTAGGGCCCAGATGCTACAGTTCCCCCACAAGCGCTGCAGCATGGTCAGCCTGGACAGCATCCGTAAGGACCCCCGCTGGAGGGACCCCAACCTGAGGGAGGTCATCACCATGCTCAGCCACCCCATGGACCCGGTTAAGTCCAACGCCGCCGCCTACTTGCAGCACCTGTGCTACGAGAACGACCACATAAAGCAGGACGTCAGGCAGCTGAAGGGGGTTCCAGTACTGGTGGGGCTCCTGGACCACCCTAAAGCTGAGGTCCACCGCAAGGCCTGTGGAGCCCTGAGGAACATCTCCTATGGGAAAGACCACCACAACAAGGTGGCCATCAAGAACTGTGACGGCATCCCTGCCCTGGTCAGACTGCTGAGAAAGTCCAGTAACATGGAGGTCAGAGAGCTGGTCACAGGTACAGTGAGCCTATGACAAAGGATTCATCCTGATTACCCAAACACCTTCTATATAGCATTCAGACAAATCGCGTATTCTTTTACCTATAGGGACCCTGTGGAACCTCTCCTCTCATGAGCCTCTGAAGATGATGGTCATCAACCACGGGCTCCAGACACTGACTGATGAGGTCATCATCCCCCACTCTGGCTGGAGGAGAGACCCTACTGAGCACTCCAGACCCCAGGAGACAGAGTGGACCACTGTGTTCAAGAACACCTCAGGATGTCTCAGGCACAGTATAGCAGCTACATAGATGACACGATCATGGAACCTTACACAAGAGCTATTGAGGGTTCATTGCTCCCTAAATTGGACGTTTCTAAATTGGACTTAATGGTAAATTAGTTACTGATAGCGATGCTATGCTAACTTCATCCGCTCCACTAATAGACCTGTGCTCCCCCAGGAATGTGAGCTCAGATGGGGCAGAGGCTCGCCAGAGGCTGAGGGAGTGTGAGGGGCTGGTGGATGCACTCCTCCATGCCCTTCAGTCAGCTGTCGCCCACAAGGAGACCGACAATAAGGTGAACACAGACACAGTTGAGCACGTGTTAACCCCAACGAAAACACTATAGCCGGAGTGCGAATCAGTACATTAACCTAAAGTATTCTGGACCACATATGAGAATCAGATCTTCCCTATATTCTATGCATCTGCTGTCTTTGATGAGCATCTTTGTGTTGTTTATGCTCCTCTCTCTCAGTCGGTAGAGAACTGTGTCTGCATCCTGAGAAACCTCTCCTACCACGTCCACAAAGAGGTGCCGGGGGCAGAGAGATTTCAGGAACATGTGCCCAATCACGTGCCAGGGTCAGGAGGGAACCAGAAGAAAAAGAATGAGGCAGACTGTTTTGGAGGGAAGAAGCCGAAGGGTGAGTTGAATCTGACCTCGTGACCTCATGCAGTTTGCCAAACACGTAATAGGAGTAGAATTGTGGGATTTCTGTTGTGTACTCTGTGTTGCTATACTAATGTCTTCCTTATTTATATTTTGTTTTGTTCCCTTCCATCCCCATTCAAAAGAGGAGTGGTTCAGTCAAAGTAAGTCTGTCTGAATGAATGATATTTGACAATCTGAAAATCCATAATAATGTTCTGTCAACTATGAGAAACCAGGACCTCTGTGGTTGCTTGCCCTGTTGTCTGCCTCGAGACTTGAGCTTCAATGGAAGACCTAGGGTTTTCTGACTCATTGTCAGAAAAGATGTCATGTCTCTATACATTTTCAATGTTTTGATCTTTCCTATTTATTATGTGTGTGTGTGTTTGTGTGTGTGTGTGTGTGTGTGTGTGTGTGTGTGTGTGTGTGTGTGCGTGCGTGCGTGGGTGCGTGTGTGTTTTGTCTAGACTGGAGAAATGGACCAAGTGACAAAAAATATGGTACACTGGATTTACCAAAACGCACAGAACCAATGAAAGGTATGGAGCATCTTTAGTGATCTGTGGATCGGTCAAGAGTCAAGACATGCATTTACGTAACTTCAAGAAGCATTCCAAAGACCTACAGTGTACAAAACCTTAACCTTGGCATGAGGCATCTGTAAAGGGTATTTGTGCATGATGTAGAATAGTTCCCAATGTGTTATAATGTCAAGAAGTGGTTGGATTGTATTGAAAACATTCAGACATAACAGTAGGATGTCTGAATGTTTTGACAGAACTACATGGTCCATACAAACGCACCATATGTCAGTTACTGTATGAATACAATACAATATGGAATAGCTTGGTGTGGTTGCTGTGGCAACTCAAGAGACTTATATTGTGCAGAAAGTGTTTTGTGTTTGAGGTGGGGGGATGGAGCAGTGTAGACGGCTAGTATAGCTTATATTCACCGTCAAATGAAGGGAAGATTGAATGTATTTTGTGTCATAATGTGATGATAAGACACTATGGCTGTCTTTTTTTATGTCAAATATAATGTGTGATATCCAGACTGTTGACATGATTACAAACTAGTCATTGGTTTCTATTCAGAAGTTCCCACAGAAGATTATACCTTAGTAAAGAAGAGAGTTGTATAACTGAATAGATTATACAACTCTCTTTTATATGGCATTGGAATCTGCGCTGTGGTTTGAATATAATCAGATACATTAATATACATATACATACAAAATCATTCCCTGGGCATGGTTGATGTCTTTTGATGTAGAAGTCCAGACAGGTTCAAAGGGAAGGTTTGGTTATGGCCCACCAGAGCTTGTGTGAGAAGGTTACTGATGACACAGGGAACGGGCACTGCTGGATGGACCTGTGTAGCCAGTCAGGTCTAATACAGGTCTGTAGAAAGTCTTATACCCTCCACAGAACCTGTGTGCCCAGCTGTGGAGCCATCCCACACTCCTGCCAGCGGCTGCAATCATTGTGATAAGCAGGTTACAGGCCTAGGTCAGGATTAGACAGCACGTAATCCTCCAGCCAGCAGCAGCCTACCAGCAGCTTCGGCTTCAGCTGGCTGAATATGGATGGAAAGCCTCTGGAGGACAGCCTGTAAGAGAATTCCTGAGTATTTAGCCTCCTTCTATACTCCAGCATGGCAGCTGGGGATGTGTGTGCAGCTAGAAGCCTCTCACTCTAGTAGAATAGTACAGTCTGTGAATGGTTGAAGTGAGTAGGGGTACAGTTTGTAGCAGAAAATAGCTCTCAGACAGTTGATAAGAGTTGGAGCCTGCAGCACCCATTTGTTAATAATAGTGAGCCATGTTTAAATGTAGTGGAGGTGTTTGAGTGAAAGTTGGGAGTTGGAAAAAACATTTTGTTTTCTTTATGCATATGTAATATCAAGCATAGTCCAAATCCCTTTGCCAGGCAGAATATTCCTTCAACATAAAAGCAGTGTGAATATCTCAAATGCACACACATAAACATGGCTGAGCTTTAATTGGGGGTATTATCTATTTTGTGTACATTATATATTCTTTCTGAAATACTAAGCCAATAATAATTTTGAGCTTCATAGCCTAACTGTGTACGCCTACACATGTTCTCTAGAGGAGGCATCTGATAGCTGGTGAATCTTTGATCTGTGTCTTGCAGTGCTCTGTCCATGGTTCTGGACCATGAACCTGATCATGACTATGAAAGAACAGCTGTTTTGTGCTGGGAGTCAAAGATTTTGAGATTTTGTCTTTGACTTCATAGGATTCTGCACTGCATTTTTCATATTATCCTGCTCTGAGTCTTCTCACTTTGGCCTCAAAACTCCAAGCTGTCAAAACAAACAGAATGGCACAAGTCCTCTGTTTGATCTAATCTGTTTCACTATGAAGTCTGAAATAAGATAGCTTTTTAAGTGCTGGTTGCTGATCCAACCATCTGGAGGCTGGTGGCTTGAGAACCACTGTGTCTCATCATATCAGTTCCAATATATCTGAGAGTTCTCTGTGCTGCTTCTCTCTCTCTCTCTCTCTCTCTCTCTCTCTCTCTCTCTCTCTCTCTCTCTCGTTCCCTCCCTCACTCGCTCCCTCTCTCCCTCTCTCTGTAGGTCTGGAGCTGCTTTACCAGCCAGAGGTGGTGAGGCTGTACCTGTCTCTCCTCACACGCAGTCAGAACCACAACACCCTGGAGGCAGCAGCTGGAGCTCTGCAGAACCTCGCTGCAGGACACTGGGCTGTGAGTGAAGGGCAATCGGGGAAACAGTTGATCTGAGGCTGTGGGAGAACACAGTGTTTGTTTCTCATCCCCTTTCTCTTGCTCTCTCTCTTGCTCTCTGTGTGTGAAGGGTTGATTACGTTTGACATTTTAGTCATTTAGCAGACGCTCTTATCCAGATAGTCATAAGTAGCACAATAGGACTGTACAACATGTCATACATTACACCCTTCTATTATTGTCTCTCTCTGTGCCTTTTTCTCAGTGGTCCAGTTACATCCGGGCCACAGTGAGGAAGGAGAAAGGTCTGCCTGTCCTGGTGGGGCTACTGCTTTCAGATGGTGATAAAGTGGTCCGGGCTGTAGCTATTGCTCTCCGCAACCTGGCCATAGATCGCCGCAACAAAGACCTCATAGGTACATGCACGCGCACAGACACGCACGCACACACACACACACACACACACATATTTTACAATTGTATTTTCCCCCACAGGGAGCTATGCCATGAGGGACCTGGTCAGTAACCTGCCCTGTGGTCAGCAGCGGCCAGCCAAGAACCTGGAAGGGGACACAGTGGTGGCCATTCTGAACACTATCCATGAGATGATCTCAGACAGCCCTGAGAATGCCCATGGTCTCATACAGGGTCACGCCATCCAGAAACTGGTAGCCATCAACAAGACAAGGTAGATTTTCATAGCATAGTATCTTTGGTGTTGGTTTCAATTGGCTAGATGCTCAGTCCACAATGCTGTGCGCTCTTATTTATGCTGGCTCTGGTTTATTCGGTTGTTTCTTTGCTAGCCAATCTGTGCGGGAGACCAAAGCAGCATCTCATGTCCTGCAGACAGTGTGGGCTTACAAGGACCTGAGAAACAGTCTCTACAAGGGAGGCTGGAACAAGAGTCACTTTAAGGTATGGCATGGCATGCTGTAAAAGGCTCTATTCCCCATTCACTACACAGTCCAAATGGGTGGCACAAACACAACTCTGTTATTGACTTGTAACTTGAGCACTGTATGAGACACAATTAGTTCCTAATGGCATACTATGTGTTCGTTCTTTTTTACTCTCAGCCAACAACTAGTGGAATGCCCAAAAAACCTAAGAGCGGAAAGTCAGGCTATGATGACATCACACTGCCTCTGATGGAGAGAAATCAAGGTCACCATGAGACTGTAGCTTCAGCATAAGTGTGGGTGTGCCTGTTCCTTGTTTGTCATTTGAATGTAAAATGGCCTTTGTTTATTGTATTCTCTCTGTCTTTCCCACAGATGGATACTCCACTGTGGAGCAGAGTGACAGAGGGGGTGATGGGCCAGGCCACATGATGGAGAGAGAGCCTCTCCAGGTCAGTAACACTGCACAGATTAGCACCTTACTATCAGTAAGGTCAGGAGTTATTCAATGGTGACTCACAAGATTTAACTAAACACTTCTTCCATTTGGTTGCAGAGTATCCCAGAGAGGAAGCACTTCATGCGGGCTGGAAGGCCTGCAGTGGGCCTGGTGGAGCGCAAACCTCCACCCCTTGACTCCTGGGTCTGAGGCTGGTAGAAGGGATTGTAGTGCAGGTAAATCCAATTTCACGTAACTATTTTAGGATTGATGTTTTACACGTTGGTGTGATGCACATACTTTGTCTTTTTTCTTTTTGCAGGAGATGTGATAGTAAAAGAGGAAGTGAAACATCAACATTTGTGGAGGTCATTGTGGTGTTGATACTTTAGACGGACATTATGTAGGTCAATTCACCATTTAGGATAACATGTTTATTCTACCCCCAGCAAATCAGAATGGAGTGAATATAGTCTTGTCATTTACATTTTCAAAGTGTTATTGAAACTCTGACTGTACTTGAACAGAGCATCTCCTACTTTACTTTTATTTTTTTGCACATACTGGACAGCGGGATGAGCGGAGTGACACAGCTGAATGTAGGCCAGGAAGAAAAACACAACACTAACACTTTCTATGAAATTAGGATTTGTCAAAACATTTTGTTTCATTTACCTGACCTGCCCTATTCCTCTAGTATTGACATGCTGTATTGTTTTACTCCTGCAAGGTGTGCATCAGATTTATGTGAGAGACTAGTTGGAAATGGGATTGTAAATGTGTAATAAAAGATTGTTAATATTCTAAATGAAGGCATTTATATTGTAATATTCATTGTAATATTCATGTTATTTATTAACAGTTGTGAACGTTATCTTGTAACCAAAAATGCAATGGATACATTCATATTATAATATACTAAGTAAAAGTGCTATTTTATCAGGAGCTGACTTGATGACTTTGCTTTATGCAGTGTTTGTGCTTGCACCACGATGTTAAATTGATAATGTTAGCAAATAAAATCCATAATTTCTCAATGTTGTATGGATTTCATTTATACTGTATTTTCTGTTCTTCTCGTCTTTCTGTTAGGACAAGGGCGAGGGGTTTATTCAACATGTATGTTAGGGAATTTATCATTAACGCATCATGTTGCTTAGCTGTTGTGCTACGGTCATTTTACTTTCAGCACTGGACAGCTCCATATATTTATACTGTATATGGTCGCTGTGCTGGAACCGAGAATAGAAACATGAAATGAAGTATGCAGCAAGTTGGAAGAGCTGCTCGAGCATAATGCATTTTTTAAAAGAATTCTGCCGTTGATGATGTCACTACTTTGTTTACTTTTGCAATGAATGCCATATTTGTTACAAGATGAAACCAAAATATACTCAGCCAAAGAAGGAGAAAAAAAGGTACGTTTGAAAACACGTACTCTAGTTCAGCTCATCGGTTTTGCTAACAACACTTGCTAGCAACACATGACCGGCCACCCAAAATTGGCTTGATAGGTATCAATAAATCTCGTGTGGTTAAGTTAGCTAACGTTAGCTAACCTAAAGTTATCTGAACTGCGCTAGCTAGCTAGCTAAAGCTTGCATCTTGAATGCAGTGTTTCATAAATTCAAAAAGAAAAGTTAGCTAACTAATAATGCTGGAAAAAGTTTAAGAAAAACACTGCTTTTTCTTACTGTAGGTTCCAGGAGGAGGGAGGAGACAATGTGAGGGAAAGTTCACATTTAGCTGGTGAGGATTTTAAAGAATTTCGAAGACTATTAGCTAGCTAGACAATCTAACTTAATACAGTAGCTAGATGTCTATTTTGACATCTACAGTGCCTTGCAAAAGCATTCATTCCCCTTGGCGTTTTTCCTATTTTGTTGCATTACAACCTGTAATTTATATGGATTTTTATTTGGATTTCATGTAATGGACATACACAAAACACTGAAATTAAAAAAAAAAATAACGGAAAAGTGGTGCCTGCATAGGTATTCACCCCCTTTGCTATGAAGCCCCTAAATAAGATATAGTGCAACCAATTACCTTCAGAAGTCACATAATTAGTTAAATAAAGTCCACCTGTGTGCAATCTAAGTGTCACATGATATGTCACATGATCTCAGTATATATACAGTGAGGGAAAAAAGTATTTGATCCCCTGCTGATTTTGTACGTTTGCCCACTGACAAACAAATGATCAGTCTATAATTTTAATGGTAGGTTTATTTTAACAGTGAGAGACAGAATAACAACAAAAAAATCCAGAAAAACACATGTCAAAAATTTTATAAATTGATTTGCATTTTAATAAATAGTAATGCACGGTGAATAGTAATGCACGCTCAAGTTTTCTGTTTTTTTGTCTTATTTCTTGTTTGTTTCACAACAAAAAATATTTTGCATCTTCAAAGTGGTAGTCATGTAAATCAAATGATACAAACTCCAAATAAATCCATTTGAATTCCAGGTTAAGGCAACAAAATAGGAAAAATGCCAAGGGGGGTGAATACTTTCGCAAGCCACTGTATCTCTTCTGACATTTAAACCTCTTTATCCAGCATTCCCAGCTCCCAGTCATGCAGGAGAAGGGGCTATGACCCTTCCTCAGAATGCTCAGACCACTGCCCTCCCCCCACCGGGCCTCAATAGAAAGTACCCCCTAAAGCAACCCACTCTCTCAGCCAAGATCAAGATTTGGATGCCAGTGCAAGAGACCTGGAAAGGAGAACCTTATGACAAGCCTTTGCTCAAATACACCACAGCCCTCCCTATTGGCAGGCGCCACTGTAGACCTCGTCCAATAAAACAACCCATCCCCAACCCTTCCCCTAACCTGACTGATAAAAGAGTGAAGTTCAAACATCCTGAGGCCACCCTCCGTTTTATCCCAGTGAGGCCAGACTTAGAGCAGCTTGCCAGGCAGAGAACCCTCCCTGGTGGTCAGTTGGTTAGACCTGTGACACCCAGACCACCATCCCGCAAGCAGCCCCCCTCTGCAGACCATAGCCCCCTAGACGGTATCCGCTCACACAGATCCCTTGCTAAAGCACAGGCTGCTGGAGGTGAGGACAGGGGAGGGGGTGGAGATGGTGTCTCCCTATCCCGCGCTGTCAGGGATTTGCAGTTGCTTAGTTCCAGCTCCGACGACGAGGATTCTGAGTCTCCTTCTGAGTCTCAGTTCCGAAGCACCACTCCAGCCTACCTCACCCGCCGCTACCAGAACAGTTTGAAATGGTACCAGGTGGTGCGCAGCGAGAAGAAGACCAAACATCACAAGGAGAGGCTTGACCAGCTTTGCTATAAGGTAAACACTGTATGCTATTTTACTCAACTCATGCCTGGCTAAAAGATATCTAAACAAATCAATATATTGGCTCTCATATTGGATCTTACTATATTGTCATCTCTCACTTTTCTTTCCTTAGGAGGCATCAGATGAGTCTAATGCTGAAACAGGTAGCTAGGGATTTTAGTCCACCAAGTTTGAGACATACAATCCATTTATGCTTTGTCAATGGGAACTCAGTCTTTCCTCTTCTATCTGGGATCTTTTTTGCAAGCTTACTCTACTAATGATTGTAATTACCTGTTCCCTGCCATATCATTTGTTAGCAGGCCCCTCTGGTGTCCAGGCGAGACACACCGCCCCTCTGGGTGCTGGGGAGGGGAGGTCTGTCTGTAAACCCTACCAGGGAGGGAAGAGGAGAAGGAGCCCGCTGTCAGAGAAAGGTTTGTATTTATATCTTTGTTTATTTGTCAAGAGCCATGTACAACATGCCATTGCACCAGATTTAGCTAGATAGCTCATTTTCATCTGTAGTCCCTGGGCAGAAAATAATCAACATCAATACAATTCTACAATATAACATCATATTAAAATATCTCTATAAATCTTTTTCCAAATATACAACAATAGACAATATAATGTCCCTTGGTCCTACAGTGTCTGACATCAGTATCTGAATGTCTTGATGTTCACATGACTGGTTTGCCTAGCAAAGGTACAGTACTCTCTCACACTGGTTGGCAGGGGGTTCCATAATCCAGACGCTCTGACTGAAAAAGCTGTCTGACCAAATTTGGTGGACCTAAACTGAGTTGAATAGCCCCCTCTGGTTGAAGCTCTTGTCGTCCTGGTATTGTCCTTGCAATATTTAACAAACTGCTGAAGAGGTGATGGGGCAAGGTCATGAGTGTTAATAAACAGCAGAGAGGTGTTGGCATAAGAAGCTGTCAAAGCTCAGTAGGTTGTGTTTCTTAATGATATTGCAGTGGTGATGTGTTTGTTTTTTGTGCAGCACTTGCAGAGTTTGTTTATAGAGCTTTTGAAGTGGTTTCATTGCTGTGATACACAGTACAAAATCATTGAGTACATGTACAGTATAGCAGCATCTGTTGACATTTGGTTTCTGATCAATTTGAAATGACCAGGCCGCTTTTGACTGTTCAATATACTTTATATGACTGGCCACCCAAAAATGTATTCGTTTTTTGTGACACCACCTTGATCCTCTGTTCCTTTACGGTTACCTCAGGCTGATGGGTCTCACTGTTCTTGATGAAGGGTGCGTTCATAAATTCACTCTGGCTATCTACTCTGATTTCAGATCACTCTCATCTGAGTGTGCCAGAGCGCAGAATAACTGATTAATTTACGAAAGCGCAACACCTGTTGAATATGACTGGTGTCAGTAAACGTCTGCAAAAAAACGTAATTAAACTGTTTCCAGCAGCAAAGTGACAGTCACCAACACTCTAGATAACATGAAAACAGCCTAACCAGCAATTCTAGAGCGAGTAAAATGGTCAGAGTGAGGTGTTCTCTCATTTGTGTCTGGAAGTAGCTAGCAAGCTAGCCACTTTAGCCAGTTAGCTTGGATGCTTGACTGCAGTTGTGAGGTCAAAACGCTCGGCTCAACCCTACTCCTGGGCCAGAGCGTCCAGTGTGCGTGTGAATTTATGAATGGACAATCTGACAATGCTCTGAATTTATGAACGCCCAGAGCGCACTCTGGCATTCCAGAGTAAATGTACGAACACCCCCGAAGAAATACATGCAGACAGTTTTGTTACGTTAAATGTTAGACATGAGTAGTCCAACCAGTCAGCAATTTTTTCCATTGCTGCTGTAAGTTTATGAGCAGATTTTTGCTTTGTCTTGGCATGGACATAGAAGACTGTGTCGTCTGCATTAGTGAAGCGCGGGTTGACTCATAACCCGCAGTCCCCGTGGCTATATCCGCGGACAGGTTTAGGGTAATTAAATATTGGGTGGCTGAAAAGCGGGTGGGTGGCGGGCGGGTTGAATAAAGAGAAACAATACCTTAAAAAAATCCATAAATGTTCAACTATTGTGCAATTTATATAGGCTACATTGAGGTTTTTCTTTCATTCTTTTAGGCTATCTGGTATTACTGCATAAGCCTAAACTTTAGGGCTTAACTGTACACACGCCAAATAGCCTACACAGCCAATCGCCAAATAACGCTTTTGGGAACGGGCAGAAAAAGTTCATGTTAATCCATGGAGGCAAAAATAACATTGTCTAAATTAATTCAATAAGACAAAAGCTGTGAAAGGAGAGTTGAAAATAAAGAGAAGGTAGGGCAAGAAAAGTAATGTTTGGAAAATATTTGGTGAAGTGGTAAAAGAGGATGATAGCAGTGCCGGCTATGTTGGGAACAGTGGCGACCCGTCATTTAGGGCAGGTGGGGCAGAGCCCCACTTTTCTTGCCAAAGGAAAATAAAAAAATAAAACATGTTTTTTGGGATGCCTGTTTTGCATGTTATTTTGGCATTAATACGTGTCACATATCAGTTTGCAAACAATGTAAAACATAAAATGAAAATTTAGTTAATAAAGCCACATACAAACTTAAGGCAGCTCCAAAATGCAGGTGTTTCAGCCTAGCTTAGTGCTTTCTGTGGTGGTGGGGCAGCCAGTGGAAAATACGGAGCATAGGGGTTGGTAATGTTCTCTGGTTGCGGCGTGATTGGCTCAGTGTTCTGTCACTCATGGGGACACTTCATCACAGCCAAATCTAAGGGTAGAACTCGAAAATTCAAGCCCCTTGGCTGCTGCCATAGAGTTACATTAGAAGTGCCCATCCAAGAAGGCTCAAGGTCATTGGCCACAGATAAAATGACGTCAAATCACGTTATATCTACAGCAGCTTTGATTGGACTGATCATGTCAACATCATACTTTCAAAATCTTAGCTAGCAAGGTAGCAGTCATCATCATGAATCAAGTCGACAATCTACTGGCAAATCCTTTTTAATCCTTGTCATATGAAGAGAAATAATGAAGAGAAATTATAGATAAAACTTATCGGTGCTCATCGGCCATTGGACATAAACAAATTCAACAATGAGAGGTTTGGAAGGAATCTGTGGCTAACTGCAAGCATTGCAAAGCAATCACTAGCCTGCTATTCAGTGGAGTGGGTGTGTGGTTCCAAGTCTGGGTTTAAGGGTCTCTTTTCCAAGCTTAAAAGGATAAACATTCTACATTGGCCATGGTGTCAATCCAGCATGACTTCTGCCGTGCTCAAAACAACTGGAAACTCAGAAATGGCAAATCTGATTTCAGTGAGTTCAAGACAACTGGGAACTCTGAAAAAAACAAGCTCCGACTGGAAAAATACGTTTTGAATGGTCATCCAACTCGGAATTGCAAGTCGGGAATTCGGACCTCTTTCTAGCGCTCACTGACATCATCATGATTCAACCTTGTTTTATTTATAGTTCCCAGTTGTCTTGAAAGCACCATAAATCCAGAGAATGCCAGACTTTGATGACAAAGTTTGATGACAAAATTGATGACGGTCCAACAACCAAACCATCTCAATTGGGTTGAGGTTGGGTGATTGTGGAGGGCAGGTCATCTGATGCAGCACTACATCACTCTCCTTCTTGATCAAACAGCCTGGAGGTGTGTTTTGGGTCAATGTCCTGTTGAAAAACAAATGATAGTCCCACTAAGTGCAAACCAGATGGGATGGCGTATCGCTGCAGAATGCTGTGGTAGCCATGCTGGTTAAGTGTGCCTTGAATTCTAAATAAATCACAGACAGTGTCACCAGCAAAGCACCCCCACACCATCACACCTCCTCCTCCATGCTTCATGGTGGGAACCACACATGCAGAGATCATCTGTTCACCTACTCTGCTTCTCACAAAGACATGGCGGTTGGAACCAAAAATCTCAAATTTGGAATCATCAGACCAAAGGACAGATTTCCACAAGTCTAATGTCCATTGCTCATGTTTCTTGGCCCAAGAAAGTCTCTTCATCTTATTGGTGTCCTTTAGTAGTGGTTTCTTTGCAGCAATTCGACCATGAAGTCCTGATTCACGCAGTCTCCTCTGAACAGTTGATGTTGAGATGTGTCTGTTACTTGAACTCTGTGAAGCATTTATTTGAGCTGCAATCTGAGGTGCGGTTAACTCTAATGAACTTATCCTCTGCAGCAGAGGTAACTCTGGGTCTTCCTTTCCTGTGGCAGTCCTAATGAGAGCCAGTTTCATCATAGCGCTTGATGGTCTTTGCGACTGCACTTGAAGAAACTTTCAATGTTCTTGACATTTTCCGTATTGACTGACTTTCATCGGTAGGACGTGTACTCAAAGCATGCACAGACCAACTGGCAAGTGTCTTCACTGACATTTTCAACCTCTCCCTGACTGAGTCTGTAATACCTACATGTTTCAAGCAGACCACCATAGTCACTTTGCCCAAGGAAGCGAAGGTAACCTGCCTAAATGATTACCGCCCCGTAGCACTCATGTCGGTAGCCATGAAGTGCTTTGAAAGGCTGGTCATGGCTCACATCAACAGCATCATCCCTAATACCCTAGACCCACTCCAATTCGCATACCGCCACAACAGATCCACAGATGACTCACTCGCAGTCCACACTGCCCTTTCCCACCTGGACAAAAGGAACACCTATGTGAGAATGCTGTTCATTGACTACAGCTCAGCCTTCAACACCATAGTGCCAACAAAGCTCATCACTAAGCTAAGGACCCAGGGACTAAACACCTCCCTCTGCAACTGGATCCTGGACTTCCTGACGGGCCGCCCCCAGATAGTAAGGGTAGGCAACAACACGTCTGCCACGCTAATCCTCAACACTGGGACCCCTCAGGGGTGCGTGCTTAGTCCCCTCCTGTACTCCCTGTTCACCTATGACTGCGTGGCCAAACACGACTCCAACACCATCATTAAGTTTGCTGATGACACAACAGTGGTAGGCCTGATCACCGACAACGATGAGACAGCCTATAGGGAGAAGGTCAGAGACCTGGCAGTGTGGTGCCAGGACAATAACCTCTCCCTCAATGTGAGCAAGACAAAGGAGCTGATCGTGGACTACAGGAAAAAGCGGGCCGACACAACAGGGCTGTAGTGGAGTGGGTTGAGAGTTTCAAGTTCCTTGGTGTCCACATCACCAACGAACTATCATGGTCCAAACAGACCAAGACAGTCGTGAAGAAGGCACGACAACACCTTTTCCCCTCGGGAGACTGAAAAGATTTGGCATGGGTCCCCAAATCCTCAAAAAGTTCTACAGCTGCACCATTGAGAGCATCCTGACCGGTTGCATCACTGCCTGGTATGGCAACTGCTCGGCATCTGACTGTAAGGCGCTACAGAGTGTAGTGCGTACGGCCCAGTACATCACTGGGGCCAAGCTTCCTTCCATCCAGGACCTATATACTAGGCAGTATCAGAGGAAAGACCAAAAAATTGTCAAAGACTCCAGTCACCCAAGTCATAGACTGTTCTCTCTGCTACCGCACAACAAGCGGTACCGGAGAGCCAAGTCTAGGACCAAAAGGCTCCTTAACAGCTTCAACCTCCAAGCCATTAGTCTGCTGAACAATTAATCAAATGGCCACCCGGACTATTTATGTTGACACCGCCCCCTCCTCCATTTGTTTTTACACTGCTGCTACCCGCTGTCTATTATCTATGCATAGTCACTTTACCCCTACCTACATGTAGAAATTACCTCGATTAACCCGTACCCCCGCACATTGACTCGGTACCGGTACCCCCTGTATATAGCCTCGTTATTGTTATTTTATTGTGTTTCTTTTTATAATTTTTTACTTTAGTTTATTTTGTAAATAAACTCAGCAAAAAAATAAACGTCCTCTCACTGTCAACTGCATTTATTTTCAGCAAACTTAACATGTGTAAATATTTGTATGAACATAACAAGAGTCAACAACTGAGACATAAACTGAACAGCCCGTCTGGTGTTCAACCTTCCCAAGTTCTCTCACGTCACCCCCCTCCTCCGCACACTCCACTGGCTTCCAGTTGAAGCTCGCATCTGTTACAAGACCATGGTGCTTGCCTATGGAGCTGTGAGGGGAACGGCACCTCCGTACCTTCAGGCTCTGATCAGTCCCTACACCCAAGCGAGGGCATTGCGTTCATCCACCTCTGGCCTGCTGGCTCCCCTTCCTCTGCGGAAGCATAGTTCCCGCTCAGCCCAGTCAAAACTGTTCGCTGCTCTGGCACCCCAATGGTGGAACAAGCTCCCTCACGACGCCAGGACAGCGGAATCACTCACCACCTTCCGGAGACATTTGAAACCCCACCTCTTTAAGGAATACCTGGGATAGGATAAAGTAATCCTTCTACCCCTCCCTTACCCCAACCCACCCCCCCCCCCCCCCCCAAAAAAAAAAAAAAATATATATATATATATATATATAAAAAAACACATTGTAAAGTGGTAATCCCACTGGCTATAAGGTGAATGCACCAATTTGTAAGTCGCTCTGGATAAGAGCGTCTGCTAAATGACGTAAATGTAAATGTAAACAAGTTCCACAGACATGTGACTAACAGAAATGGAATAATGTGTCCCTGAACAAAGGGGGGGGGGGGTGCATTAAGTACCCCCCCCCCCCCCCCCCCCCCAGCTGCATTAAGTACTGCAGTGCATCTCCTCCTCATGGACTGCACCAGATTTGCCAGTTCTTGCTGTGAGATGTTACCCCACTCTTCCACCAAGACACCTGCAAGTTCCCTGACATTTCTGGAGGGAATGGCCCAAGTGGCACAGTGGTCTAAGGCTGTGCCACTAGAGATCCTGGTTCGAATCCAGGCTAGCCGTAGCCGGCCGCGACCGGGAGACCCATGGGGCGGCGCACAATTGGCCCAGTGTCGTCCAGGGTATGGGGAGGGAATGGCCGGCAGGGATGTAGCTCAGTTGGTAGAGCATGGCGTTTGCAACGCCAGGGTTGTGGGTTCAATTGCCACGGGGGGCCAGTGTGAAAAATAAAAAAATAATGTATGCACTCACTAACTGTAAGTCGCTCTGGATAAGAGCGTCTGCTAAATGACTAAAATGTAAAAATGTAAATCTGCAAAGAGGTATGGGACAAAATCCCTCCTAAGATGTGTGCAAACCTGGTGGCCAACTACAAGAAACGTCTGACCTCTGTGATTGCCAACAAGGGTTTTACCACCAAGTACTAAGTCATGTTTTGCAGAGGGGTCAAATACTTATTTCCCTCATTAAAATGCAAATCAATTTATAACATTTTTAACATGCGTTTTTCTGGATTTTTTTGTTATTCTGTCTCTCACTGTTCAAATAAACTTACCATTAAAATTATAAACTGATCATTTCTTTGTCAGTGGGCAAACGTACAAAATCAGCAGGGGATCAAATACTTTTTTCCCTCACTGTATGTGTTATTTCATAGTTTTTATGTCTTCACTATTATTCTGCAATGTAGAAAATAGTAAACATAAAGAAAAAGTATTGAATGAGTAGGTGTGTCCAAACTTTTGACTGGTACTGTATATGCCCCCTTTATTTATCCTACGGTTCTGACTTGGTGTACAGGGAGAATACTGTAAGAACGGCCCATGTTCTGAAATCTGTCACTGGACATTTCAAAGGTGCTGAACAAATAGTTATATTGACTACGTCCGTCCTAGCTCGCTCATTGATGTCTTATTCTAAATTGCAGATTGCCTCTTATCTGCTCGTCGTCCCCTTATGCCATAGTTTGTACATCTCAATTGTCAGTAGAAACCACATTTGTTTAAGCAAGTCAGCCATATCAGCTATGTTTTTTTTAAAGGCAGTAAATGAGGCTCAATGAACTGTTTCGCTGCCAGACAAGGCTCCGCTGATAGCCATGTGTAGCAGTGGTAAGGTGTTGGGACTGCTGTTGGGACACTGCTGTTGGGACAGCTTTATGTAGGCCCTAACAGTGTGTGGGCACCGTTTGTCACCGTTATAGTGCAATTAATGTATTGTTTAGTGTTGTGTTGTGTTGTGTAGTTTGTTTGCTGGCATGCATCAAAAACATATATATATTTTTTGCCCCACCAAGATTTACATGCTTAAATCGCCACTGGTTGGGGTACCAAGCTCGAGTTATCAGTGTAGCCTGTTATCGCCTTTACTTTTTGTAAAATCTTAACGCCTAGAAAAAAAACCTCCTAGCTTCTGTCATAACTGTCAATTTATAGAGAGAAAAAAGAAAGAATTACAGGGGGCAGTTTGTAAAAAACGAATCCCGTCCTAATTGTCCTCTGGAGTAATGGACGTTCTCTGGTAATACTAGTCCCGTGCAAATAGGGCTATATCCTTAATAGTAGCCTAACTCCTGCAGAATTAAGCATTTCTTGCAGTAAAATGATACACCAAATGTAGGCAAAATGTGATTTATTTCTGCATCTTGAGAGAATGCAATGCTCAGTTAGATACCATCTGTTGAGGTGCTGTCTTTATCAAAAAGGCATCATAAAAACGGATAGTATTTCAACCACATAAAATATGCATCGAAGCCGAACTGAAATCAGAAACACGTTGGATCGTTTTCACAGTTAACTTTTTCCTTACAAACGATAAACTGGACATTTTGCACTGAAAATCTTTTCACAGAGAAAGATCTTTGACAGAGAGAACTTTACCAATGTCAACTAGATTGAAGCATTCATTGGATCGATCTATTACATTATTCTGTTGAGCAAGGGTTTATTTTGTGTTATGATGTCTTGTCATAGTGTTGTGGGAACAACATTTATTAGATAGGTGACTCTGGGTGCCGCAGAGTCTGGATGCAAAGGATTCCAGTATGTCGAGGGAGCTTACTGAGGTTTATCTTAGAATGATTGATAGACATAATATACTGACTTGGGGTACAAGGTAATACCATCAGTGTGGGGAGTGCCCACTGATGGTTAGCAGATGTTGTGGAAGCAATATGTAACATGGACTATAAGAAGAGAGATACTTTCTTTGTTCAGGAGTTCGGATGACAAGAGGCAAAGCATGTGCCATTTGTTAGACGAACCCGGTACCGTATCTATTAAATATTTTGTATTAACTCTCCATATAATTGTTTAAGTATATTCTTGCATCCTGAATTACTTGATACCAGAGAAACTCATCATAACATTTAGTCTTCTAGGGCAACATATAATGACAAAAGAGAAGCTGCATGTATCTAATTATAGACAAGTTTACTAAAAATTAGCCTACCAAAATGTTGGAAATTATAAGCAGAAACATATCTAAATCAGGCACAAAAAAAATCCAGCAACCCCTGTCAAAAAATTGTTCTGCAGTCTTTGACTGTAGCCTATAGCGCATGTTCTATATTTGCGGGTTAGGGTTGGGTGCGGCCCTCAGATTTTCACTTTATAACATATAGTTGGGCAGTTGCTGATGGGTTATTAGCAATTGCGGGCGTGTGTGGGTGAACAAACAGCTGACCCCCGCACCACTAGTCTGCATACATCTGCATTTTGATCTCAGGATATCCAGAGGACAGGTCATTTATGCACCTATAAACTGTATAAAAGTGGGCCCCAAATGTATCCTTGAGGAACTGATAGAGCAGTCAGAGGATGTTGACAGTTTCCATTGATTTTGGTGCATTGTTTTCTTTTGGTCAGGTTGCCTACCCCCCAACCAGGTGAGGAGATGGGACCGCCGGTCATGGCGCCGACAGCTAGACAGCAGTGCCTCGGACTCCCCAGCATCTGATGGCAGTGTCATGCTCAGCCCACCCTACACCCACTCCCCCTTCCTCTCTCCAACAGCTACCAGCACTCCTCCCCTCCCTGCTCCTCTTTGTAACACATCTCCCAATATCCCAATATTTTCCCCTTCCTTCTCTCTCAGTACGCCTTCCAGTTGCCCTAGCACGCCACTCTACCCTCACTCTTTCACCTCCAGTGCCCCTGGCACCCCGTTACGCAGTCAGGTGACATCTTCCAGTGCCCCATGCACCCCAGTACGCACCAAGTTATTCACCTCCAGTGCCCCTTGCACCCCACAACATGGAACCTTTCACAGGGCGTCATCGTTCCACATCAGGAGCAACATCTCAGGAAGGAGGACTACATGTTGTGGGCTGGAGAGCTGTCCACCAGCAGCTAAAGGGACAGTAACCAGTTCCAACCCTAAAGACTCAGTAACCAGCCCTAAAGATAGATGTCAAGCGGACAACACTCCATACCCAGACATGTTCAATATTAAAGGGGATACATCGAAGAAAGATGATTCTGAGATGAGAATGAGCAGTGAAATTAAGAAGACTTCAACACCAAAGAAAACGACTGAGAAATGTTCTCCTGCCAGAGCTAAGACTTCCGTATCATCACATGCCAGTCCCACTCTGAAAGAATCTAAGATTCCACAAGCTGACCCACGACTACTGAAACCAATGAAACCATCAGCCTCACCTGATGTGTCTTCAACTGAGCCAGACTGTGGGACCCCCATCCCAGGCAGTAAGCTCACCTCCATCTTTTCCTACCCTTATGATGTACCACAGATCAAAAGCAGTCCACTTAAAAGCCCTAAGAAGTCTCCATGTAAGTCATCTCCTCAGTCAACTACAGCACATCAGAAACACAAGTCTCCTCAAGATAAGAAAAGTCCTAAGAAAAGTCCTAAAACCAAGACCTCTGATTCACCTAAATTAACACCTGCACCTTCTTTGTCAGAGAAGCAGACAGACAAAACTGAGTGTAATTTCAAGAAACCATCAAAACCTCAGAGTGTTGTTAGTAGTGAGGCAGACTCTGCAGTGTCACAACATGTTCTATCCACCAAAAATACAAAATCCCAGAGTGCTGGGAGCCAGCCAACCAACAAGACTTCTCCTCCCTGTGACCGTAGTCTTAAAACTAAAGGTTCTGCAGACACTGCTTGTGTGCCAAAGCCAAAGGAGGATAGTGGGAGGAAAGAGAGACCTCCCCTTCCTAGCCTTAGAAGATTGAAGCAAGCATTTACAAGCCTTTGTCAACAGAGGCCTGTGGTGGCTAAACCCTCCAGCGAATTGAATGGGGCGCCGACTGACATACCTAGGCTGTTCAAGACTCCTTTATCCAAGACCCCCTCCCCTAAGACCCCCAAGAAGCCTCAGAGTAGAGGTCTTCACAGATCCACCCGGGATCCGAGGATCCGAGATCCAATCCAGGATCAGAGCCCATCTATGCATCCCACCTCCAGCACCTCCAGCAGCTCCAGCAACAACCCAGAAGGGAGACCTGCAGCCTCAACCTCAATCCTGGGCAGGAGTTTAGAGCTGAAAATGAGTCAAGGTTTCCAGAAACCAGACACACCCAGGCCAAAGAGCTACTCCCCCAAGAGCAAACCCACAGGGCTTTCAACAAGCTATAGAGGTACTGGTACTCCTTTCCTGGGAAGTGAGGGGAATCTAACATCTATCTCCACTTCTAGGATCCTGGCAACCCCCCATGACTGTCCATCTCAGACCAGGAGTAAAGCCTCATATTCTGCCAAACTACTACGGGAGGGAGAGAGGGACAGGGAGAGAGAGGGGGATAGGGAGAGATGGGAGAGAGAGAGGGAGAGATGGGAGAGAGAGAGGGAGAGATGGGCGAGGGAAAGGTGTCCACCCTCACCGACACACCCTCACCCAGCACAGGGCCCAGTTCCACAGCCAAGCAAGGAGGGTCATCCTAAAGAATGCTTTAGAGGCACCGGGAAAGGCAAGACTACTAAAGGACAGGAGGACTTGAGAACTAAAGTCAAAATACCATGGGCACCAACTCAAAAACCCTCTACCTCTCACAAGAGTTGGCCAAATGTACCCTCACCCTGCCAGAACCCTCCACCTGTGAGAAATGGCCACCAGTCACACTCCAAAAAGATCACAGGCACGCACTCACCCTCAGCTCAGACTAAATGTAAGTTAATATGGATTCAGTACGTGAAAGAGTATACATTTGCTGCTATGTAATAGTAGTCCGAGATTTTTAGCATTCTACAAAATCTGGTGTTTGATGGGTGGGGACATGGGTAGAAGTGAGTGTGTATGTGTTCATTTTGAATAGCTACTTATCTATCTTTCTGTTCTATGTTCTCTCCATACTGCAGCTGAAGTACCAGGGGAGAAGATAGACTCTCAGCCCATCAGATCCCCACCTACAACACAGAAGGTCCCTCAGGATCCAGTGTCCCCTCCCCTGTCCCCCCGCTCCAGACCCGGCCCCAGCAGTCTGGAGCTCATCCATGCCATTGTGAGTGCCATGGGCTATCTGCTTGGTGTGCCACCCACCTCCATCCCTGGCCTTTGCCCTTCACCTGAAGAGCCTGGTACATCCTCCAACACTGACCCATCAGCTTTTCACTCAGACCCCAGCCAGCCCCCCTGGACTGAAGAACTACGACTCATCCGGCAAAGACTCAGTGAGCCTGGCTTAGGGCTCAATCCTCAGCCTCCGAACCCCAACCACACCCAACCAACCTCCAGACCAAAGGACACACACACAGGACAGGTGAAAGAAGGCAATTAGAGATCATGCAAGTTTCTCTCACAGTTTTTTTCCAGCTCTGTTATTTTGTTTTTAAGCCAGAGTGTCCTTACCTTTGACAATGTGCTTTCACATCGATCCTCCTCTATACAGAGGGAAGAGAGACCTGCACAATCAATGGCACCACCACTGAGAAAGAATACAAAGATGTGAGCCACACACGGGCTAATAGCCGCACAACACACATAGCCATCCCCTGGCTGTAAGATATTTCTCTGGTGTAGTGCATGCAGACTATAGACTCAAGAGTACCACACTTTATGGACAATACACCAATGCGTTCTTCACAGCTTTATTTCATATGTTGGAGTATTTTCTTTGTGAATTCCCAGGTGAGAGGAGTTAGGATGAAGATGAAGATGAGGATACTGTAGCATGCTACACTGCAGAGCTGCAAGGAGTCAGAGAGCAGCTGTTCAGACAGTCCTGACTGACTGGTGGAAACAGAAGATGTTCACGTTAACAGGCTGAACATCTGCTCATACACCTGGGTTGTGTTTATAACTCTTTCTCTGGATAGAATAATCGAATAAATACAGAGTCAAATACTTTATGTACATATTCATTTTCTGTAAGTACTGGCAGTTTAGCTCTTAGAATTTATGATTTCAATGCTTGTGATACTGCTTTAATTTGAGATGGATTTGATCTTGCTTTCATTTTGACAAGCAGTCAGCTGTTTTATGTCGAAAAATACAGTACGTTGGGCATGCTGAATGTTGCACATGTGACCACACGAGGGCAGTCTCATGCCAACCTAATGCAACTCCTAGTCATAATGAAGGGAGAAATTAAATCTAATGTACAGAACACTGTCAATTGTCAAAACAAATGTACAGAGCACTGTGATTTTTAGTTATTTCTATGTGAATATTGAACATCAATAAAAGTTTTGACTTATTGAGGAGCCTAAATCTATAAGACATTTTGTTCAGGTTTGTTTGGATGATAAATTAACACGACAAGCTTCTGATATGCTTACCCTACAGCACAGACAAACTCTTGTCTGAGGTTTCTTTATTAACCATTCAGTCATGAGTCAACTACATTTCCTCATGTCAGATAGCGCAACGACTCCATCTGCACTGATTGTATGTATGACACACACACACATACAGGTTCTGCTTTATCTTTACTGAATGTCCAAACCACTCCCTCTACCTCTTACAGTTTTTTCAAATCACTTTGGCAAATTTTTCAGATGTAAGTGGAATATTATAGGCATATTATGTAGCATGTATTGTAAAGCAGACGGCTTCAGTAAAACAGTATTGGTGTGTGTATGCCATTTCTGCCCCATGCAACATTGCACAAGATCAACTTTTCTATATCACTTGTTACTGTAACTGCTACATTATCACCTCTCTCTCTGCTTGACAAAATCATCAGCTTACAGTGAGTATATCAATGAAATCTAGGACTATACTGTTATACTGAATACAACCCAAGTTTGTCAGCAGTGCATTGTACACTACACCATACTTTTACATGGTAGTGCATAGAGTGACTCTTTCCACTTTATTGAAGCTTGCTGATGGAGGATGATGATGTAGTTTTTACAGTCCTATCCATACTGGTATATTCTTTGGCTTTACCTTCCAACCTAACTTGATGTGAATTGGTACATTTGTGATGCAAAGATATAGAATTGTACAGTGTTCTGCAGTTCTTAAACTGTATAAGTAAACTACTGGAAAATACTGGATGCCAGAAGACACAGACCTAAGGACAACCGCAATCACCCCATCACCATTGGAATGCTTTCACATTGCTTTCACGGTAGAATTGACTAACAAAATATTCCTCATTGGTATTGACACAACAACAACTGAAAGCAACTCATTCCTGTCTTGAAATCTATTTTCCAAATAAACCTATAATTCTAAGAACAGCTGAACAGCTGAAAGTTAACCTTTGTTGCCTTGAACCTCTTTTATCCAGAAAAACACTGATCGGACTATGAGTTGGGGTGGGATTGGAATAATTACACAAGAACATCAACACAGTCAGGACGCAGGAATGAGGGCCAAAATACTGCTACCTGCTCCACTGGTCCTGGACATGAAAAAAGCTATTTTCAACAACTTGCAACAATCTCAAGTTGAATGGCTGAGATGTACAGTTGATTGGGCTATAAATGAGGAATGTCAAATGCTCTCCTAGGAGCATGATATGTATCACTCATACTTTCACATCCCTTATTTGCATAATGTTGTTGTATTTGAGCTACAGCATTTTGCACCCCTGCTGCTGCACGCTTTGAAATACGGTTGATATATTTTTAAGGTTTCACCAGGTCCTGTAAATGATTGGCTCTCAGATTAATAGTCCTGGGGCTCAACATAATTGATTTGTAAGGATAGAGACACAGATTGTTTGATACCGAATTGATGTTGCTCTTGTTGCTTGTACCGTTGGGACATTTGGTAACATGTTTTCCAAGCAAAATGATGTCTCATTCACTGACTTCTGATGGGATTGGGAATTATGGTATACCACAGCTCGTCAACCAATCACCTGAAGAATAGCCCACACATACCTTTTTCTCTCAATTTGAAACTAAAGCCTATATTTATTTGAACAACTTTCATCATGCAGTCATACCATTTACAGTATGTACTGACCCTTTATGCATGATGCCTACAGTGCAGATGTTTGTGCAAGATATATGGATATAGGCTGTGAGTTCATGATATGAGCTGATATGACAAGTGCAACCACAAGTAGCAGCAGGCTGCCACTTGTCATGGGTCATGGCTAGGGTAATGGTGAGCCTAAAACGTGAGTGTATTAGTGTTGACTTGTGACCCCACTTGATGCTGACAATGGCGTAACGCTGTGGGCCTAACACAATGAATTCCTTTCGCTGACTTCAGAGCAATCTACAGTATTCCGACATGGTTGGGTGATTTCATTATTGGAATTTATTGGAATTGGCAAGTAAAGGAATAATCGAGATCATTGCTTTTCTGCGAAAACTCGTGATGAGTAGCCTGAGATCTCTAGAACATCTCCAACTGTGGCGCACGCACGACCACCGCTGTATCTATAAAAGCGTTCACGTGCACGGTGTACACCTCCTCATTCGCCCGACGCATAGACCGTTGTGAGCATGAGACAAACAAGCAAAATAGTTTAAAATGTATTTGAAAGTGTTTTAGTGGGGGAAAGTTTCGTCGTTCTCTCTGTATCTATTTCTTCATTTAGTGTCGCAGTATCTGAATTTTTTTTTTTCTTCTGTTACTGCACGGGTGGAGGTATTTGAAAGGGCACTTAAGGTATGGGCTTTATTCTATAAATCATCTACGGCTTTTCTTACTATTTTAAGTCTTGTATAGGGTTTCTTTCTCAACTGTATTATCTTGATAAGGTAGGCTCTTTCACTTTATTTCGGGAAATGTAAGGTGAATTAAATAATAAAAAGTATGATAGAACTCTTTTATTTGCTTTTTAAAATTGAAATGTAAGAAATAGTTACTTTCTTTCATTATTTATTGTTTGAATGAAATGCTTTTGGTTTTGAATGATAGCTTAATTTTAACCTCTAAAAACCATTTAAGGATTGGCTGTATGTTTATACATTTGTATTCACTTTATAAGCATATCATCAACATAATATTATAGTTAAATATAGCATCGTTAAAGCATAATTAATTAATGAGATGCAATCAGAGATATCAAAGCTAACTGACTTGTTGAATTATTATGTAAAACATCCTTGTTGACATATAATGCCAATGACTGTCACAAACACATCTCTCGTCCCCTTTGAAAAACAGAATGTATTCAGGCAAATAGAATGGGTTTTGTGCAATCCAAGATGAATGGTTGTCATAGAGAAGTTCTCATATTCCTTAATCAACATTCACCATCTCACTATAATTACAACAACATTGCTGTCACATAATTGCATAATTCATTGTGAGGCTTGTTATGCATAGCATTGTCGCTTGATGGAGACAGCTGACAAACAGACCTACTTGTGGCTGCTTACTGAAATATTACATTTACATTTATAATGACCTTAACCCAACACCTTGGGACATTGTCAAGAGGTTTGATCCGCTTGGCATAACAATTAAGGTGTTGGCTTGACAGTTGTATGACTCGGGTTTGCTCTTGTGAGGCCATCGGAGAGCAGGGTACACGTGAGGGACTTGGTATGGTATAGAGAAGTGTGGGGACACGCTCTCCTGAAGGAAGGGGATAATGTAGCGACCTTAACCCAACACCTAGTGACCTCATAAAGAGGTTTGGACCTCTTGGCGTAATGTTTAAGGTGTTGGTTTGACAGTCACTGGACTGAGGTTCGAGTCCCGGTCGGGGCTACCCCCTGTATTTGCTACAATACTGTACACCACAGGAGGTTGGTGGCACCTTAATTGGGGAGAACGGGTACATGCTAATGGCTGGAGCGGATTAAGTGGAACGGTAACACATGGTTTCCATTTGTTTGATGCCATTCCATTCGCTCAGTTCCAGCCATTATTATGAGCCGTCCTCCCCTCGGCAGCCTCCACTGCTGTACACATTACCCTGAGGTCCTACAGTGGATTGTCCTAAACAACTATACACTGCAGTGCATTCTCACTTGATCAACTGGACAACCATATCGATCTACTAGTCAATAAAATAATTCAATTCACCAAAGTGACCAAATACTTCCATGTGATAAATATATACAGTTGAAGTCGGAAGTTTACATACACTTAGGTTGGAGTCATTAAAACTCATTTTTCAACCAAATTTCCTGTTAACAAACTATAGTTTTGGCAAGTCGGTTAGGACATCTACTTTGTACATGACACAAGTAATTTTTCCAACAATTGTTTACAGACAGATTATTTGACTTATAATTCACTGTATCACAATTCCAGTTGGTCAGAAGTTTACATACACAAAGTTGACTGTGCCTTTAAACAGCTTGGAAAATTCCAGAAAAGTATGTCATGGCTTTAGAAGCTTCTGATAGGCTAATTGACATCATTTGAGTCAATTGGAGGTGTACCTGTGGATGTATTTCAAGGCCTACCTTCAAACTCAGTGGCTCTTTGCTTGACATCATGGGAAAATCAAAAGAAATCAGCCAAGACCTCAGAAAAAAAATTGTAGACCTCCACAAGTCTGGTTCATCCTTGGGAGCAATTTCCAAACGCCTGAAGGTACCATGTTCATCTGTACAAACAATAGTATGCAAGTATAAACACCATGGGACCACGCAGCCGTCATACCGCTCAGCAAGGAGACACGTTTTGTCTCCTAGAGATGAACGTACTTTGGTGCGGAAAAGTGAAAATCAATCCCAGAACAACAGCAAAGGACCTTGTGAAGATGCTGGAGGAAACAGGTACAAAAACATCTATATCCACAGTAAAACGAGTCCTATATCGACATAACGTGAAAGGCCGCTCAGCAAGGAAGAAGCCACTGATCCAAAACCGCCATAAAAACCCAGACAACGGTTTGCAACTGCACATGGGGACAAAGATCGTACTTTTTGGAGAAATGTCCTCTGGTCTGATGAAACAAAAATATAACTGTTTGGCCATAATGACCATCGTTATGTTTGGAGGAAAAAGGGGGGTCTTGCAAGCCGAAGAACACCATCCCAACCGTGAAGCACAGGGGTGAGAGCATCATGATGTGGGGGTGCTTTGCTGCAGGAGGGACTGGTGCACTTCACAAAATAGATGGCATCATGAGGAAGGAAAATTATGTGGATATAGTGAAGCAACATCTCAAGACATCAGTCAGGAAGTTAAAGCTTGGTCGCAAATGGGTCTTCCAAATGGACAATGACCCCAAGCATACTTCCAAAGTTGTGGCAAAATGGCTTAAGGACAACAAAGTCAAGGTATTGGAGTGGCCATCACAAAGCCCTGGCCTCAATCCTATAGAAAATGTATGGGCAGAACTGAAAAAGCGTGTGCGAGCAAGGAGGCCTACAAACCTGACTCAGTTACACCAGCTCTGTCAGGAGGAATGGGCCAACCCAACTTATTGTGGGAAGCTTGTGAAAGGCTACCCAAAACATTTGACCCAAGTTAAACAATTTAAAGGCAATGCTACCAAATACTAATTGAGTGTATGTAAACTTCTGACCCACTGGGAATGTGATGAAAGAAATAAAAGCTGAAATATATCATTCTCTCTACTATTAGTCTGACATTTCACATTCTTAAAATAAAGTGGTGATCCTAACTGACCTAAGACAGAGAATTTGTACTAGGATTAAATGTCAGGAATTGTGAAAAACTGAGTTTAAATGTATTTGGCTAAGGTGAATGTAAACTTCCGACTTCAACTGTATACTGTATATATATATATATATATTTTTGCCTATGCCTGACACTTTCCTCCTGGTCTAAGAAGAAGAGTTCAAGATGGAGGACACATGGGAACTTCAACTGACCACTACTCTTTACATGATCTCTGACCTCTTACTCTCCACAAACCTCACCAACACCAACTCCAGCTGCACCGTCACTAGCATCAAGCTCTCCCCTTACTACCAACACTCCCTGGCCATAGCAACTAGCTTCACCCTGGCCTACCTGTTCATCTTCCTGCTGTGCATGGTGGGTAATGGCCTGGTGTGCCTCATTGTTGTGAGGAACCGTCACATGCGGACGGTCACCAACCTCTTCATCTTCAACCTGGCTATCAGTGACCTGCTGGTGGGCATCTTCTGCATCCCCACCACGCTGGTGGACAACCTCATCACAGGTAATACCCTACTGCTATAGAAGAATGGCCAATCTCCTGTTTCTGTAGTATGAGGCCGCTTGATGTACAAGTACACCCACTGGACAGGAGGCTATCGCAGGGCCTTACCCCTAATCCATTTCATTAATGCTGAGTGTCAAGCAGAGAGGCATTGGGGTCCTCCCATTTTTAGAGTCTTTAGTATGACTCAACTGGGGTTCGAACCCCTCTGACCTTCAAATCTCAGGGCGGACCCTCTAACCACAACGCCACTGAGTTAGTTTTACCCTACTGCTATAATGATTCCATAAATTAATAAAAACATGCTGCTTCGTATTGATTACTGTTGGCCTTGATGAAAATAATGACGCAACCTTTAGCGAGAGACAGTTCTTTCTATAACAGATTGGCCAGTTGCCTTTAGCTATTGATAACGACAATTGTTAGGAAAAACTCCTCTTGTGCCTTGAAAGAAACATCATTATAGCTATTGCAAGTGGTCATTCACATGTAATGTATGATTCCGTTTCAGCATGGGTTTATGTGTCTATGTGGCTGCAAATACACCAGCCCAGCCAGCTTTGCAATGGTTTAGATCAGTTCAATTCATTCTCACAGTACTGTATCTTCACACATCTCACAAACCACAAGCTGGATCGCCATTCTGTTGTTTTTGCTATCTGTTTACACATGGACTTGTGGAAATTGCTGATTAATGTTTGGATATTTGCTGGAGTCTCAGCACTGAGAGAATAGTCCTGGGCCTGAACATGATGATCACAGCTGTCTTTCATTTGACAGCCTGATGAATAACTTAACATTTTTAGACAGTTCTTCACAATCTCTTCATATTTTACAACATCAATACAGACATTAGTTGAGTCTTGGCAGGAAAAGGGCTTTTAGAAAACCCCAAATTTACAAAAGTGTGAAACACGCATTGCCACAAAATCACTCAGTCAGGAAGGCTTAACTTCCAGTAATGACCTTTTCATGGCTAAATGATTTCGCTGGGCAGGTACAAGCACGTCATCCACTTCATCCACTCTTGTCTAACAATTTATTTCTGTATCTTTCATGCAGGTTTGAAAAGTGCAAAAGCGTGAATATAATACTCCTGAAGTTGTTATCCCCTTCATCATCCTGACCAAACTCACATGTACCAAACATGGCAAAAAAACCTGTTCAAAGTGTGGCTATTGATACAGTATGTCTGGCAGCTCACTAATAAAGTATTATTGTTGCTATTGTTGTTTGGCAGGTTGGCCCTTTAGCAATGCAGTGTGTAAGCTAAGTGGTCTGGTACAGGGGATATCAGTGGGTGCGTCTGTATTCACCTTGGTTGCCATCGCTGTGGACAGGTAAGTCCCCCCCAAAGTATCTGCACATGGGAACTGGAAGGGGATAGTGAGGCTCTCATCTATGCATGTTAAATACTTCATGTTGTACAGTAAACAGTTTAATCTATGTGGCAGATAAATCGCTCAAATGAATCGCTTAATCACTTCTCATCTATCTCTCCTCTCTCTCTCTCCTGTTAGATTCCGCTGTATTGTTTACCCCTTTAAGCCCAAGCTAAGCCTTCTTGTTGCTAAGGCAACTATAGGGCTGGTATGGGCTCTTGCGTTGGTTATCATGCTTCCGTCGGCTGTGATGCTGATGGTGGAGCAGGAGGAGGGTCACTTCATGGTATCCAGTGACAACCAGACCTACCCTCTCTACTACTGCTATGAGACCTGGCCTGACCCTGAGATGAGGAAGGTTTACACCATGGTCCTGTTCACACATATCTACCTGATGCCCCTTGTTCTCATCATGATAATGTATGGCTGCATTGGGGTCAAGCTCTACTCTACAGCTGTTCTGTCCAGTAGGGGGCACCCAGACGTCAAGTCCCCCATCTACCAGAGAAAAGTCAAGGTGGTTAAGATGCTCATCGTGGTGGCCCTCCTCTTCATGCTGTCCTGGCTGCCTCTCTGGACCCTGATGCTCCTCACAGACTACGCCAGACCTGAAGGGGACCAGCTGGACCTTCTGACAGGCTACATCTTCCCCTTCTCCCACTGGCTGGCCTTCTCCAACTCCAGCATCAACCCCATCATCTATGGCTACTTCAATGAGAACTTTAAGAAGGGCTTCCAGGCTGCCTGTCGCCCTGGATCATGTTGCAGTGGGGTCCCACAGGCGCAGGCAGTGAGCAAGGCTCAGCAGGGGTGCAATGCCAGAGCCCCGCGGAACATAGCCCTCAGTGCCAACCTTCTCACCACCCTGGGAGTGAGGAACCGCATCTACACCGACAGTGACCTGATGGGCTGTGTGTGTCTGGAGATGGAGCAGAGGAAGGAGGAAGGATCTGCAGAGGCTCTTGGGCAGAGGGAAGTAACAGTAACGGTGGAGTGTCAGTAAAAAGGGTCTTCATGCAGAGGATGTGGATAGACTCTTTCCAATGGGGGTTGCTGTGTGTCAGGTGTGGAAGCTTTGAAAGGCAGTTGGGTGGACAACAACAGTGGGGTGTGTGTGCATGGTGAGGTTGGAAAATGGACAGGTTGTTGATAAGAGGGCAATAGTGCTGAGCGATTAACCGAAATGTAAGTTATTTTTAGTTTTCTTTCTGTGAGTGCGATCTGCAGATTCTCTAGAGATAAATCAGATCAAGCCAGAACTGCACGGCTGGCTGTAGCCTTTTGGGGGCCCTAAGCGAGATTTGGTTGGGGGGGGGTCTCCCCACCAAGCTGGATTTTTTTTAGTGGTCCTCTAGACATTGGAGAGAAAAATTTACGTTTTAAAGTTAATTTGCAATTCTACATATTTTGCCATTGGGTGGAGAGAAAATGTTTCAATTTTATAACAAATTTCATGCAATTCTACACATTTTACCATGGGGCAGAGAGAAAAAATTGAAATTTTATAACAAGTTTCATGCAATTCTACAAATTTTGCCTTGGGCAAGGAGAAACTTTTGCAGTTTTAAAGCAATTTTTCTGCAGTTCTAAACATTTTGCCATGCGGCGGAAGGAAAGTTTGCTATTTTATAACACATTTCATGCCATTCAAAAAAAAATGCAAGTTGGCAGAGAGAAATTTTGAACTTTTGAAGCTACTTTTCTGCAATTCTACCCATTTTACAATGGGCTGGAGAGAAATGATTGCAGTTTTAAAGGGCAATTACACCACTTTTCAACCTCATATTCATCATCTTCAGCACCACACGATATATAAAAACTTATGTGGACACCCCTTCAAATTAGTGGATTTGGCTATTTCAGCCACACCCATTGCTGACAGATGTATAAAATCGAGCACACCGCCATGCAATCTCCATAGACAAACACTGGCAGTAGAATGGCCTTACTGAAGAGCTCAGTGACTTTCAACGTGGCACCGTCATAGGATGCCACCTTTCCAACAAGTCAGTTCGTCAAATTTCTGCCTTGCTAGAGCTGCCCCGGTCAACTGTAAGTGCTGTTATTGTGAAATGGAAACGTCTAGGAACAACAACGGCCCAGCCGCGAAGTGGTAGGCCACACAAGCTCACAGAATGGAACCGCCGAGTTCCAAACTGCCTCTGGATGCAACATCAGCTCAAGAACTGTTCGTTGGGAGCTTCATAAAATGGGTTTCCATGGCCGAGCAGCCACACACAAGCCTAAGATCACCATGCGCTATGCCAAGCGTCGGCTGGAGGGGTGTAAAGCTCACCGCCATTGGACTCTGGAGCAGTGGAAACGCGTTCTCTGGAATTATGAATCACGCTTCACCATCTGGCAGTCTGACGGACGAATCTGGGTTTGGCGGATGCCAAGAGAACACTACCTGCCCGAATGCATAGTGCCAACTGTAAAGTTTGGTGGAGGAGGAATAATGGTCTGGGGTTGTTTTTCATGGTTCGGGCTAGGCCCCTTAATTCCAGTGAAGGGAAATCTTAACGCTACAGCATACAATGACATTCTAGACAATTCTGTGCTTCCAACTTTGTGGCAACAGTTTGGGGAAGGCCCTTTCCTGTTTCAGAATGACAATGCCCCCGTGCACAAAGCGAGTTCCATACAGAAATGGTTTGTTGAGATCGGTGTGGAAGAACTTGACTGGCCTGCACAGAACCGTGACCTCAACCCCATCGAACACCTTTGGGATAAATTGGAACGCCCACTGCGAGCCAGGCCTAATCGCTCAACATCAGTGCCCAACCTCACTAATGCTCTTGTGGCTGAATGGAAGCAAGTCCCCGCAGCAATGTTCCAACATCTAGTGGAAAGCCTTCCCAGAAGAGTGGAGGCTGTTATAGAAGCAAAGGGGGGACCAACTCCATATTAATGCCCATGATTCTGGAATGAGATGTTCGACGAGCAGGTGTCCACATACTTTTGGTCATGTAGTGTATGTGAAAACAGCACATTATATGATCTGTAGTTAAAAAAATAAGGTCCTAAAAAAATGCTTCTCTGTGACATCACATGGTAGGATTAAAAGTAAAAACCAGTGATTTTCAAAACCTGCAACGAGTTTCTAGCCCAAGGGAGGGTATTCTCTTCCTCCCCACATCACTGTGAATCTCATATTGTTTGAAAATCACTGTTTTTAAAAATGTTTTAGCTTTTGATGATGTCATCAGGTAGAACCTTTTAACTTTATATTTACAGCGCCTTCAGAAAGTATTCACACCCCTTGACTTTTTCAAAATTTTGTTGTGTTACAGTCTGAATTTAAAATGGATTAAATTGTGATTTTGTGTCACTGGCCTACACCCCATAATGTCAAAGTGGAATTATGTTTTTAGACATTTTTACAAATTAATTGAAAATGAAAAACGGAAATGTCTTGAGTCAATAAGTATTGAAGCTCTTTGTTACGGCAAGCCTAAATAACTTCAGGAGTAAAACTTGTTTTTACAAGTCACATAATAAGTTGCTGGACTCATGTTTAACATGATTTTTGAATGACTACCTCATCTCTGTACCCCACACATACAATTATCTGTAAGGTCCCTCAGTCGAGCAGTGAATTTCAAGCACAGATTCAACCACAAAGACCAGGGATTTTTTCCAATGCCTCACAAAGAATGGCACCTATTGGTAGATGGTAAAAATATAAATAAATTAACTTTATGTCCTGCATACAAAGCATTTGGGGCAAATCCAACACAACACATCACTGAGTACCACTCTTCATACTTTCAAGCATGGTGGTGGCTGCATCATGTTATGGGTATGCTTGTCATCAGCAAGGACTAGGGAGTTCTTTAGACAAAAAGAAACGGAATAGAGCTAAGCACAGGCAAAATCCTAGAGGAAAACCTGGTTCAGTCTGCTTTCCAACAGACACTGGGAGACAAATTCACCTTTCAGCAGGACAATAACCTAAACCTCAAGGCCAAATATACACTGGAGTTGCTGACCAAGACAAGATTGAATGTTCCTGAGTGGCCTAGTTACAGTTTGAACTTGAATCGGCTTAAAAATCTATGGCAAGACTTGAAAATGGCTGTCTAGCAATGATCAACAACAAACTTGACAGAGCTTGAAGAATTTAAAAAGGTGTGCAAAACTCTTAGAGACACCCAGAAAGACTCACAGCTGTAATCGCTGCCAAAGATGATTCTAACATGTATTGACTCAGGGTTGTGAATACTTATGTAAATTAGTATTTCACTTTCAATAAATGTGCAAAAATTTCTACAAATATGTTCTCACTTTGTCATTTTGTGTGTAGATGGGTGAGAAAAAACATATTTAATCCATTTTGAATTCAGGCTGTAACACAACAAAATGTGGAATAAGTCAAGGGGTATGAATACTTTCTGAAGGCACTGTATTTCTACAAAACTTAGAAATTAACTGTTTTCACATATGTCGACACTGGTATTCGTGCTGGAGATAATGCAAATAAGGTTGAAAAGTGGTGGAGTTTCCCTTTAAAGCAAATTTCCTGCAATACATTTTTTTGGGGCATAGGGCAGATCATTATTTGTTGTTGAAATGATATAACAGATTTCATGCAATTCTACACATTTTGCCATGACTCTCAGTATGCCATGATAATGATATCTGAGTGAGAGTGACTATCAAAATCAACGGGGGCCCCCTGGAGATCAGGGCCCCTGGGAACGTGCCCCAAGTTTAGATAACTGGCTAGACTAACTTATCAGTCTAGAACTTCTTAGCTGACATGGCTAATTGAGTGACTGTCAGTGACTGACCAAACAAGAGAAAAACTATTGATATACAACCACATTTCTAACTTGCACCCTGTGTATTCTACTATTCTAACTCGCAACAGTAAGTTGAGATCCCGACTGATTTCATAAAAAATTAAAATATATAATTTTGGTTTGGGGGGCCCCCTAGCAGCCAAACTGTGCTATGTAGTAGGGAGTTGTAGTTTCCAACAGGTCAAAATTCAACATAGTTTAGTGCAGAAAACATGGTAATTAACTACAATGATCACAATCCATTACGCGCCCGCCTACTTGTCCAGTCTGTGTGGAGCAGACACGAGACGGAGAGAAGAGAGAACGCGCGATGGAGAGGGATAGAGGGATAGAAAGTAGTTTATTTGCAAGGAATCTCTACCTGAAAATACATGATCTAAGTGATTGATAGTTGTCATTCAGTAGTCATAAAAGTATGCCTTATTTACTTTGAAGAACTACTAAAATAGTGATTTTGTCAGACAGCATAGGCAGCAGCTCTATAGAGATGAGATGTAATATACACAACAACTGAAATATTTTATTAAAGTAAAGTAATGTGAATAAATGATGGTTAATATGTGATAAGCAGTAATGAGCAGTCACTACCATCATGGGACTTTTATTAATTGTTTTATTCTTTATTGTTACAGCATTCAACCAACATAATGCATAGTGCACTGAATGTAAAAAAAAAAAGATTGAAATCGAAAACCGTGACTATTTTTTCATAATGAACAGAAACTGAACCAACCTCAAAACGCACTAATCAAATCAAATCAAATTGTATTTGTCACATGCGCCGAATACAACAGGTGTAGACCTTACCATGAAATGCTTACTTACAAGCCCTTAACCAACAATGCAGTTCAAGAAATAGAGTTAAGAAAATATTTACTAAATAAACTAAAGTAAAACATTAAATTAAAGGTAACACAATAAAATTACATAACAATAACGAGGCTATATACAGGGGATACCGGTACTCACTCAGCACTAGTGGGTACTGACATGACATTTGACTGTGAACTAGCTTTTTACACCTGACTGTAACTACCAGATGGGCAGTACATACGCACAAACATTGAGTGCTCTTAGCGTCCCATATAGGCACCCTCAATTCAACTACAGATACCTAATTATAGCATACATGTCAGGGAAGAATTAAGTGAACCACCTGCATTTCTGTCCTCCAGCTACAGAATTGTTCGTTACAGGT